TTATACCACGAACAAACCTTGAACTCCTCCATTTGAATTCCTTTTTTAAAGTCCCCCATTTTCGAAAATAATCTGCCGAGCGGCATCTAGAATTACCAGCCATTTGCCATGTAACTTATGGCCAACATCAGTGGCACAATTAAAATCATTTAGTGGCCAATTAAAATTCGTTAGCAGCATTAAAATCTCGGGTCACATGAGAACCATTTCGCAATCGCAATCGCACCAGATCCGAGTATGTTGCAAGGGCGTGGGGGTCATGGCCCTGTCACTGACAATTAAAAGTACCGAAAATGTCCGTTGAATGCAACCAGAGACAATCAGAGGAGCGTCCAGAGTAGTCCAGCATTTTTAGTCCTGGTGCTGGGGACAACGACTGGCATTACCATTTCCCACTCCTTTTGGCTTTTCTAGACCATGGGAGTGCGTGCATTTGGCCAAAAAGTGCGTGTTGTTGTGCGATTTGGCTCAAATTGGCCCGGCCAGATTCAGATTGTGTGTGTGGCAGCTGGGGTCGCCCATTAGAGGCGCTGAGCGATGAGCATGGGAATTTCAATTAGACGAAGTGCCCAGGGAGAAATCTTTCCCACCACTTGCCAATTATTTTCTGTGATTTTCTGCTGTTGTTACTGAAGATGCTATTTGCTGATTTTTGAAGTCACTCAAAGAATAAGTTGTGAACCAAATTTAAAACTTGTAAATATTTTTTTAACTTTTTTTAAAATATCAAATTTCTATGCAATAATTTTCAAACAATCTTATATAGTTTTAACAATTTCTTAAACATTTTTTCTTTGTGCACTTTGGAAACGCGCCACTGCCAAATAAAATAAATTCACAAAAATTACACATTGGCATCCGTGTGCCGCCTACGTGGTCAGATGTTGTCTTTTGCAGCATTTCTACTGGCTACCGAAGACGACGCTGATGATGGGTAGGTGGCATTCAATTTTCTACAAATTTGGCCCGTCGCCACACTCTTTCTTCCGCAAGTCGCAGTGCAACTTTCACAGCTTCTTCGGTAGAGAGACAGACCATTATTGGGTAGCTCTGCACGGGGTATCTGCATTTTTTACGCCTCCAAATCGAATCATTTTCGCATAAGTTATGGTCACAAAGTTGCCTATTTTTGCCATTCGTGTTTTTCTCTGTATTTTTTTCATTTCGTGAATTTTGTGTGTCGTGCGTGTTGAATTTTTGAATTTTCCTGCTTACCGTTACCAAGTGGAAATGGCCACGGCTCGTTGCCATTTCGCCTGGCTACCTATCTTAGTTCCTCGAATTAACCCAAGCCCTGGCCCAGGGCTAGACCAAGGGTCTTCTCGGGCTTCAACAGAGGCAACTCCGATCCATGATTTAGCTTTGCAAATTTCACACTTCAGCTGCATAAACTTGGGGCAGAGACTGGAATACCAAGAGTTTGTGGAAAAATGTATTTAATATGGGTATAAGTATTAAATGTAATACAAATATTAAGCAACTGATTGTTTTACGAGCGTATGCTCAGACAGTTTTAATATTAGTTTCATATATTTCATAAATTCTTAAATATCTTCTTCATTTTAGTACAAGAACTCTCCAAAAATCTCTTCTTTAATCATTTAAGTTTGCCAGCTTTCACTAAGTATGCCTATTAATTAAATAAACCGCATTTCTGTCATGGCCATTTTTTACGGCATCAACGCCCCAGAGTCCCTGTCAGAGTGCCATCAGCATTAACCCAAATGAGTGGAGATCCGAATATTAACAATGAGCAACGCCCCAGTTCCACTTGCAAATTAATAACCTTTCACCTGGGTTTTAATTTAAATTCTCTCTCCCCTTGCCAAAAAAATAAACCATTGGCGATCCGATATGGATCCGGATCGGGACCTCCCATCCGGGACCTTCGTCAAGAGAGACACTCTGCAGATCCCGGCTGACATTTCAAATTTCGCAAATGTCAAAAAGCGCTGCTCATTTGTCTGGCGGCCGTGAATCGCGGTTTTTAACACTTTTCACTTAGACATTAAAGACCACCACCAAGACCAAGTGGATGTGTGGCCAGGGGCCAAATCCAAATGCTCTCGTGCAAGACCAAACGAAGTGCCGACCGCCAGCTTGATGACCGGGCCAAAACCCATCGGGCCTGGTCTGACCCAACCGGCCACGCATGGCAGCTCCTTTCGGGGCCGATGCCGATTCCTTAGCTCACTTTCCCGGCGTTGTTAAATAATTTCACAGTCTATCAATTAGCGTGGTGATCGCGTCAGCAGGATCTTAAGGAACAGTGGTTACTATAAGGGGATTGAATGAATATTTTATATGGTAGTAGCACAGTAATTAAGAGAAGACTTTGGAGACTTTTTCTTCAGTCTCAAGTTGGTACATTAATAGAAGTTTGAAATAGATAAAATATGTAACATAATATTTAAATATTTTTTTCATGAAAAGGTCTTTATTTTTAACAAAGGAGAAAGCTCGACGATCGTTCTTTAAATCAGTATTTCCAACACATTCCAAGAATTGTTTGCACTGTGCCTAGTGGCTGGCTATTTTTCATAATGTTGCAAGTTGCTTTTGGCCACGAGGTGAGCAACAGCTGTCCGACGCCAAGCCAAGCACCGCCAGTTGCCCAGTTAGCTGGGTTGGACACTGGATACGCGATCTCCGACTCCGCATCTTGGCGGAGCTCCTATGACCTTAGGGGGCTGGCAAAGGTGGTCTCGCTGATTGTTTACGTCTGCGCTACTCATAAAATTTCAATTAATCTGCATGTCACTTCGAAGCCAACAAAACTCTCATCCGAAACTCTAAATGGCTGGAGCACTGAAAAAAAACATGTATTTTCATTACCAGCATTCGAATGTGTGCTTGGTTCTTTGAAAATCCTATTCGAAAAACTTTTCTTTTGGTGTATGGTGGATATATTTAATTAAATACAAGACACATCTTTCTGGGGGCTGTGTTGGCCTGTATTAATAATAAGCCTTCAGTTTTCTCCGGCTTAGCCGTTGGTATCTGTTTTGGCCATGCCTGCCAGGCAGTCAGAAACTCGCACACAAATTAATCTTCTTCAAATTAGCATCTTGATTAGCCAATGAAATGTGTAACCCAGACCCGAGATCGCAGTTCGCTATAAAAATCAACAGAGAACGGTGCGATGATCATTGATCATTTTCGTGTTCGTTTCTTCTGTGACTCCCATTTCGAATCTGAATCCGAGCTCGAGTCTGAATCCGAATCCGAATCCGTTCGCATGGCTCTGCTGTTGATGTGATTACAATAATTAATCTTTCCCGAGATTATTGTTTCTCCCGCCAGTGGACCAGCAGAAAATCTTACTTTACACTGGAGGAAATAATAGTGTTTCTGATAAAGGAATATACGATTTTTATATATTAAAAAAAGTTAATTTATAAAATTTAAATGAATATTTGTTGTGCAGTGTAGCGAGTTGACTGGAGATCGCTGCCGTTTCCTCAAGGCGCCAGCTACGGGCCTGGCGTCAAATTAAGTGTTTGTGTCGCTCGCCATTAATCACGGCCTATCACAAATTTCGATATGAAAAAGTGTTTTGTATATCAAAGCAACAGCAACATGGGCATAACAAGCCAGGTACAACTTGCAACAACATCGTGTTGCCGTGCTGCTCATATATGGGTGTCCATATGGGTGTCGTCCGCAGTCCATAGTCCGCAGTCCGCTCATTTATTTACATTTTCCTGATCTGGCCTGGAAATGTCACCTGCTGTGCCAACACACCACACACATGTTGCATGTTGCCCGGATGCTTCCTGGTCAGAAATGGTACCTTTGATGGATGATGGACAACATCGCCAGCATCTCGATGTTTGGATCATTCATTTGTTGCACTCTCCGATATGAATTCATTTGAACTCACGCAGCTGGGAATGCCTGGCAGCTACTGAATCGCTGCGAAAGTGGCATTAATCAGCTGCCATCTGACTCCAATCTGGCGAGCAAAATCAGTAAATTTATTAACTGCCTAATTGCAACTTAAATTGACACGCTTGTGGCCATTAAATAAACCCTGGCCACAGTCTGTAGACCAGCCAGTATTTACCAGCCGAACTTGTTTAGTTTTCGTTCACCTTATCTCTGGCAAATATCAAGCAAAGTGCAACAGCAACTGCAATTGCTGCTGCCACTGCAACTGCAACAATGTCAACTGACGGCAACAACAGGCGGCAATTATGTATAATAATACGAGTACAAGTGCAGCAGCAACAACACTCGACCACTTGAGGTTTTCAACACATTTAAACCGAGTGTGACACCTGGAATCGAGGCAATGCCACGCCACAAACAACAACACCGACTTGCAGCTTGAAGCCAAATTAAAGTGCAATTTCGAAGTTCAACACCTTGGTCTTGGTCAGTTTTGCGATGCGGTTTCTCCTGATCGGCTAGTGATGTCTGTGTCAGGTTGTGAAGCCAATCGATTTTATTTCTATGTGTATATTTCTTTTTAAATTTTCAATATGTATTCGGAGAGTATTGCATGAAATTTATTAAATTAGTATGTACTATATAGTCGGTGTTGCAAAAACATACTTACCCTTTTTTGTAGAGAGATGTGAATACTTACAGCTGGAAAACCATAAAATCAGTTGATAACAGGTTTCAGATATTGATAATATATATCGTTTTATGTCCTTATAAGAGCCAAATAATAAGTCATCTAACTTTTTGGCTTAGAAAGCCAAGAAAGTTTACTTTTAAGCCTACAACCTAAATTGCTACCAAAAAAAGGTTGTGAAACCAGCTAAGCAAATGTATATAGCGTGTCAAATGTAAAAAAGATTTAAACGGCGTCAAAAAGGTAATGTAGAATAGAGGTCTTATACTAATGTGTCATAAGACCTTGTATAAGTAATGTAGATAAACATCCTCCATAAAGAAAGTTCGATTTTAAACAAAAGAATCCATTTTTTTCAAATACGACATTTTTATTTACAATTAACAATTTTTAGGCATACATTTCTTATAAAAATTGAATCAAGCTTAGTAAATAAAGTGGATTTAGTTTCTTGACAATTACCCAAAAACAATGAGATCATGAGATATTATTATAAAACCGCTTGCCCAAGCTCCAAGTGAAGCCAAAGTCAAATACTTATAACTAGTATAATTATAATTAAAGTTATGGTCGATCGGTAGTCGTCGGAATCTCGGCTTAGTACAAAATTTAAGGAGTTCGCTTAAGAGTTTCAAGGCAAAATGGACGTATTTGGTGTCCAAAAAGGACCCGTCAATTGACTTATTTTATAAAGTTTGAATATATTTTTGGAAAACTTATTTTGTTGTTTCGTTCATCGTATATATCGCCAACACAAAATCATATCAAAATAAACGAGGATCGGCTCAGATGCGCTTCAAAAGTTACTCAAAACAATTTCAATATTCTAGCTAAAGTTAGTTTAGGACAGTGAGGGGCTTAACTCTAGGGCTTTAGGATTATTTTCTTGTACTCCAGGTAAACCAAAAGACTGGGTTAATTTGGTACTCGTGTTTGCTTAACTGAAGCTTTTAGATTAGCTGAAGTCTGCGAAAACGATCCCCCAAGTGCAGCTTAGAAGTAGGATTCCTTAGAGTTAGCTAGAGTTAGGTCTTAGGAGTACAGAAGGACAGACGCTTGGATAGTCGAGTAGAGGAGATAGATAGAGTCAGGAAGGATAGTTGGAAGAGAGAGGCTGAAGCTTAGACCTGCAATCGAAATTGTTTTTAATAAGCCATCCAAACGGGGTGTGCAGAGTGTGTCTCGTGTGTGTCTTTTATTTCTTTTTCTGTTCGCTAGTGTTTTCCGGGGCAGCCTTGATGGCGGCTGCAGCTCTTCTTCCCACCTGTGCCGGCGGCTGTGGCGCCCCGCTGCCGTCCTGCGATCCGCTCTCCGCATCCGAGTCCTTCAGGGAGCCGCCCTCCTCGTCGCCCACCAACGCCCGGTACTTCTTGGCGATCGCCTCCCAGTCGGCCACGTTCTCGATCCGATTCTGGTTGGCCTGCGAGAAGCTGGCCTGCGATCCCAACGGTGAGAGATGAACCTGAGACAGGGCCACCGAGTCTGGGAATTACACAAAATTTTGTTAGATTTTGGAGGCTAAAGTATAGGTTTTTGGGGAAAAATATCAAAAAATCAAGAATATATTTAGTTTAGACCTTAATTTAAAAATTTTGAAGTATGTTTTTAAGTATCTATATTTTTTTATATTCGAAATTCTCTTATAATATTTAAGATAATTAAGTTTAGGGTTTCCCAAAATATTCTTGATTTTTAGATATTTTTTCCTCAATATTTTGAAAGTGAAAAATTGCGGAAAGAATTTTGAGCTAGAGCGAGCCGATTGTATGAGTTATGAGTTATGAGGATAGAAAGCAGAGATAGGACAGAAAAGTCTGAGGAATAAAAGTTACTCTTGGGCTGACACGCTGTTAGCTACAAAACCCTTCAGATGGGATATTTGGATCCCAGATAATTGGGATTGTTTGGCGGTTGTAGCCCTGCAGCGATACATACATGTCTCACCTTTCTTGATCTTCGACAGCCATTTGGCGCCGGCTTTCGTTCGGGGACTGGCCTGACGTATTCCCATCATCTGAACCAGACTTGGACGCTTCTTTTTCTTCATGCGTGCCTGAACGCGTGATTTGGGGGATTTGCAGGTATTTTGGGTTAATCAAGGCGCATTAGACACAGGACAATAGATCACATACAAGACAAGAGACACAACGTAAACGCAGTCAGCAAAAACGGTAATCACATCGAAAGCCATTAGGTGCCAGGGTGCAGTATATTTTGGGTGCAATGCAGTAAATGATCCTTAAAGGTTACTTGGAGAGTAATTCTTTGGATTAGTTACTGTCTTTCGAAAATTAGTAGTAGTGCCATGTGCCAGAGGTGTTTGTCATTTGTGGGCAACACACTTAAAGCATTCATTGTGATGGTAACTCATTGCGGTTGTTGCCAAATTGCTTTAAATGGGTTGGGGAAAAGGTCAGCAAACTACACCCTTCCAGACTCGGTTCTGGTAGTTGCGCAGTCAACAGATACAGAAACAGATACAGGAACAGGATACAGGATACAAATAGACAGAGCGATATAGATAGAGCGACAGCGGCTGGGAGGCGGCTTTTGTCACCTGGGATTTTACCTTGACCTTCTCGACGATCCACATAAACCAGGTGGTAACTAAATTAAGCGGCGAGGGCGCTGTTGTGGTGCGATGCATATTGCGAATAAGCTTGGACAAGCCGAATTTCCACTCGATGTCGGATTGGGCCTAGTATTTCATAGGTTTTTGTTTTCGTAATAGTTCGTATTGTTTTGTATTTGTTTGCGGAGTGTGCGATGTTGGATGTTGAATATTGTTTGGATGAGACATGACATTGGGAAGAACAAGAACACAGGAATACACAAGATGAGTTTCGTGAGCTAAAGCCTTGGAATTTACATTTTTTGTTAGTTTTTTTCTATACGTAACTTAAGAGCTGCAAAAATCAGGTTTTAAAATAGAAATACACAAATGTAGACGCTTGTTTTAAATGGCAATCCCTGGGAGTTTCTCTTAAAACTATACAACGAAATTCCCATTCAAAACCCAACGGCTTTATTGGTATATCTCTTGAGACTTAAGACCTAATGACAAAACACAGACACATAAACATGCAGCATTGTTTTCTAAATGTAAAATATTATACGTTTTTGATTCATGCATAAGATCAGTACTTGGTTTCAGATTTCAGATTTGGACTTGCTCAAAACACTGGTCACAAAAGCTGGGAAACACTTCTAATCCACTAAGCTAGTCTGCACTGTACTACTCTAGGACGCAGGTGGTTTCCATCCTCGAGATACTATTTTACTGGCGCGCAAAATGGGTATCTCTCAGATTGCTAAGTATATGTTTTCCTGAAAAAACCTGGAAGTTGCAAGTCTGGGCAGTTGATGGATTTACAGATAATGCCAAAGTCTCTACACAAATCAATCTAATTCTAAAGGATATTATACTTTTGTACGATTGCTGAAAGAGACTTGAAGGTTAGATTAAGAGATAGATAACACTGATATATGTATATAGATACTTAACTTAGGATAGGTATTTAATAAAATTATTTAAAAAGAGAGCCAAGAGCTTAAGGTATTAAGGTTATAAAGCGCCGTTTAGCAATACTACCTGTATGCGTTGATAGGTGTCTGACATCATAGCAATCAGCAGGTTAATTAGCACAACCACCGACACCAACATGTAAATGCCAAAGACAATTTTGAACAGGTACTCAACCCAATACGGTTGAGTGGGCGTGGCTACATTTTTGATTTTGTCAACTTGGGTCTGCTCGGTCGTCGTTTGTCCGAACACGGCGAAGAACAGCAACTCGAACGAGTTAATCGGATGCATGCGCACTGTGTCCGGAGTCCCCATATATACGGATACCAATAGGTTGTTTCCCCCCAGATACAGATACAGATACGATTTTGACAAATAAAGAAAGAAAGAAAGACACCCCCGGACAGCACGCATATATTGGCCGGCGTGGAAATTATTTGAAAAATAAAAAGATAACGGACGCCCATCCCGGGAAGTGGTTGGTTTGTATTTTGTTTGATTCGTTGATTTTTTTCCAATTGACCAACCGCAGTTTCGGCCAATTCAATTACAATTTTAGACGGTCAGTTTGGGGTTGTTTTTTTTCAAAAGCACACACAACAACAGTTAACGATAGAAACGGAAATCAAAATGAAAATTATAATTAAAGAGGGAAGAGGGAAAGCAGAAAGAGAAAATACAGATTAGTGGGGTTGGCGATACAAACCTGAATGCGCTGATAAGTATCCGACATCATGGCAATTAGCAGGTTAATCAGTACAACCACAGACACCAACAAGTAGATGCCAAAGACAAATTTGAAGAGCACCTCGGTCCACTCGGGACGCAAGTGTCGCATGGGATTGATGTCCAGGGTGGTCGTCTGTCCGAAGACCGCGAAGAACAGACGCTCGAAAGCCAGAAAAGGCGTCATGGGTCCTAACATGGGTCCGAATATTACTCAAATATCTGAACTAATTAAATCTTTTTTGTTTTCGATTTAGTATGCATTGCTGCAGCTTGCACGGATTAAATATTTGAATATTTTTTGTAAAATTTGTTCGGCTTGGCACAGGCGTTCGTGCGAGTTTGAAAATTATTTTGATTACTTTGAAGGTTATAATATTTTTGTGGTATTTTGTTAATAATTTATATTTGAGATTTTGTTGGAGAGTGCGGGTGAGTGATAGAACACGTCAAAAGCAGCATCTCGCAGTTCGCAGATCGCAACAGCAGCTGAGCAATTCGAATGTCTCACGAATACGAGTATCGGTATTAGTGGCGGTATCGTTATCGATTCGATTCGATTGGTTTCGATTATTTCGATTATATCGAGTGCAGAATTTGGTGGTGGCAAGCGGCGCAAGCTGAAAGCCCTGGGCAGGCGGGCATTTCTTAATATCGATTATGATTGAATTGACTTGTTTGGTAAAACATCAACATGCAGTACTGGAATTTTTAGTATTGTACACTTTTTTTCAAATGGGTATCGTTTTTGGCTAGACATCGACATAAGTTAAGTAAGTAAAAATACAAAAATAATAATATTAATAAAAGATTTTGATAATAAAAATTCAAAATGAAAAGGTTAAGAAAAATAAATTATTATAACAAAAAATTGGCATGCATTTTAATTAGTTACTTAAAGAAATTAATTTTATTGAAAACCAAAACCAAACTTAAATATATATATATAAGAACTCTATAAATACAGAGTATAACTATTAAAATAAATATTTTTATTGAGTAAAATATAGTATATAATCGAAGGAAAATGAAATAAATAAGTAACCACAATAAAACAATTTTAATAAAATAAATAAAGCTTAGCGCATGGATACCTATGAACACAGATCCACAACATCAAGGATGCGGAAAATGGCTTTCCCGCCTCAAACATGCCTCAAAACGAAAGTAACTGAAACGAGCAAGGCGAAGGATTTCGAGCAGCGGGTGCGGAGTTGTGGCTTTTCCATAGAACTGGAAAACAAACGACATAAAACTTTACGCACAACATCGAAGGCGGCAACGCAAAGAGTTCGAATGCCGGGTAGTATCGGCAGTATAGTAGTAATGGGCATATGGAGGGGGGTTTAAGGGTCAGCCCCAATAGGGGCCATGCAAAGGCGGGAATATTTTTGAGAGGGTTGAGGAGTGACTGGGGAGGTAGGCGGTACCGGAGACTTACGGTCATCCTTGTGCTTGCGTCGGAATTCGCTGAAGCGACTATCGACATAATTCTCCACGGGCGGAGGTCTGGGGGTGGGCATGTCATCTGTTCGGTTTGGGTTCAAGATCAGATCAGAGTAGAATACATATTAGTGAAGGTCGAGAAATAGGGTAGGGGATGGTTGTTGGTATTACGACATCAAGGTTGGAGGTTCAGGCTGTTTTATTTGTACTTGTTGAGCATGCAATTGTTGTATTATGTGGTTGTAGTTGGTTCTTTTGTCTTAGTTACTTATTTAATTATCGTGAAACATCGAGCACACACATATTGGATTTTTTTGTTTGTTTGTTCATTCAAGGCAGACACAGATACTTATCAAGACACATTGAACGTTCAAAAGAGGAAGTTTTGCACAAAAACATTCCAAATTAAAATGATAAAGAAACCAAAAGAGGTATAAATAGTAGACGGGAGAAAGCAAAGCAAACGTCTCGACTTACCGTCACTGAAGTAGCCTCGGTTTCGGTTCTTCTTCTCGAAGCTGCGCAGATCCTCCGGCGAAAAGTTGGCAAAACTTTGATTTAGAGCCACTATGTGCATGGAAAAGCCAAACACAAAAATGGCCAAGACGGCCAAGAACCTGGCCAAATCCTTTAGCAGATCCCCGATGATAATGGCCCAGGGTCCGAAGAGGTGGTGGAAGGACAGAAAGTCTAGGATCTGTACACAGGCCAGCAGGAAGGCCAGGGCGAAGCACTGATTCCGGCAGTAGACCAACGTAGGCCAGTACTCCTTAGAGACGAACACAAAGGCCGCCACATGGACGCCCACTCCGGCCATTCCCAGCAGGAGGACCAGCACTTTGATGGAGCCCAGTCCGGACTTGTCCGACGGATTCGTCAACTCGAACAGCAGCAAGCCACTCAGCCAGATCAGGAGCCCGATCTCGTACCAGTAGGGCACCAGGCTCAAGCGGAGCACCGGGTAGATGGGCGTGATGCCCACGATGCTCAGGTGGATCATGAGGTAAATGTGCGAGGTGAGGTACGACATGAACTTGATGATGGGCACCTTGTTGAACTTGTGGCCCATCGGGAAGGTGAAGCCGATCCACACCGGTGGGCAGACGATGAAGGCCACCAACAGGAGCAGGATTTTCCACGAGGCCCAGGTCAATGATCCATGCCAGAGTTCCTGATTAAAAAAGGGATATGTTAGTTTGGTGAAAGGTTAAAATAATGATCCATATATCCCTGCAGTTAATAGTCTGCATATCTTTAAGACTGCAAGGATATACAATGATATATTAATATTTCTCCATCACACACTTGCAGGTATCGCTGCACCACCGTATGGGCAATCACTTCCTTTTGTTCGTTTTCAATCAGGACGTCGAGAAACTCCACGTTCCGCTTGTCGGTGGCTTGCAGGATCTTTCCGGCGGAGTCCGAGCCAGCTGCCAGGGCCAAAAGCTCAGTGGCCATTGTCTCACACTGCTTGCCAGCAGCCACTAGATCCTTGGCACGCTCTTTTTCCTGAAATTTTAAAGAAATGTGATCTTAAATATGTTATATCATCATAAATGTAACCCCTACCTTTGTGGAAAGAGTGATATAAATATTGGATAGCTTGGCAGCCGTATCCACCGGAGCCGGGGAGACCAGAACAAACTCCTGGATGGGCTTGTTGTTGTGGTTCTTGGACACCACCATCAGGTTGTATACAAAGCGCTTGTCCTCCATGAGGCCATAGGTATCGTGCTCCTTGTTCATCAGGTAGCGCAGCACCTCGTTGTGTCCTTCGGAGGCGGCGAACCAAATGGCGGCGCATCCGTAGTTGGTCTCCGATTTTGGAGAGGCTCCCGCCTCGCACAGCAACTTCACCACCTCCAAGTGGCCGGCTTTGGCAGCACAATGCAGTGGCGTCCAACCGTTCCGATCGGTTGCATTGATCTCCGCACCCTGGCCGAGCAGAATCTCCACCATCTGGATGTGTCCATGCATGGCGGCGATGTGCAGTCCCGTCCTGCCGTTACGATCCGTCGACTGGAGGAGTTCTGCCGACCGACTCAGGAGCAAACCGACCACTGACATGTGTCCGCCGAAGCAAGCCAAATGGAGTGGATTATAGCCCTAAAAAATGACCGGAATATTAATGAATAGTTTAAGGACTTTTTCCATCCTTTACTTACGTTCTCAACGGTCGCCGCATCCACTTGAACACCCGCCGAGTTGAGGAGCAGTCGCACCACGTTCTCGTTTCCGGAAAATGCCGCCAAATGCAGTGGTGTCATCCCCGACTCCGTGCCTAGTTCCCCGAACAGACTCTGTCCCGTGGGCGTTTCCGACTTGACCGTGGCCGGGACGCTAGTCAGCAGTTCCCGGACCGTGTCCGCCTGCCCGTAATACGCAGCTACGTGGAGTGGCGTCAAGCCCAACTTTTTGCTGTTGATCCTCAGGGAGTTGGTGCTTTTGAGAACGTCCAGGACCTGTCCGTGTCCGTTTTGGGCCGCCAAATGGACGGCCGTGAATCCGGCCTTGTTCTCCTCCGTACAGGATGCCCCGGCCCGGACCAAGGCCTTCACCACGTCCGCATGACCACCTTCGGCGGCCAGCTGGAGGGGTGTCGCGTCTGTTAGCTTGTTCCGCGCCGAAATCACGCCCGACCGATCGAACTTCATCAGCTCCTCGATCACCTTGACGGATCCCTGCATTGCGGCGATGTGGGCACAGGTGTTGCCGTCCTTGCTGGTGGCGTTCACCAGCGACGGGTGCTGTTGCAGGAAGAGTTTGGCCACTTCAGAGTAGTTGTTCTGCGCGGCGACGTGGATGGGCTTCTGGCCCAGGTCGTCCGTCGCATCAATGTTGGCTCCCAGCTCGAGGAGCAGCTGGCAGACCTCCATCTGCCCGCTGGCTGCCGCCAGGTGGAGCGGCGTTTGCTTTCGCAGCGTCAGGATGTCGATGACAGCGTTGTGGTCCTTGATCAGGAATTTCACCAGGTGCGTGAATCCGTTCATGGCCGCCAGGTGAAGGGCCGTGCGACCCACGCGGGACTTGGAATTTATAAAGGCCTTGTTAGTCAGCAGGGCGTCGCATACGTGCAGGTATCCCCTCTCTGCGGCCAAGTGCAGGGCCGATCTGCCCTCCGTATCGAAGACGTCCACTCGAGCATGGTTCGCTAGCAGGTTGTTCACCAGCTCCATGTGCCCCCGATGGCAGGCAATCAGCAACGGGGTCCACCCCACCGACGACTGACGGTTCATGGCCTTCTGGATATCCGTGGGATTCATGTGCGAGATCATCTCCATCAGCACATCATTGTTTCCAGCTACGGCACAGTAGTGGAACGCCGTCTCCAGCGCATTCTTTGTCTGCAGCGTGACATCCGCTCCGTTTTCCAGTAGCATCCTAACTATCTGCTTGTCGGACTCTGGGATGCGCACCTCCTCCTTGGTGATTTGGCAGGTGTAGTGCAACGCCGTGGCGCCGTCGTCGTTCACCGAGTTGATGTACGTGGTGGCCTTGTCGGGGCCGTGCTTCTCCTTTACGGTTTCGATCAGATGACGTACGATCTCCGGGTGGCATGACCGGCAGGCCATGTGCAGAGGGGTTTCCCCGGTCTAAAAAAGGGGCATATGGGTTTTATATAAAGAATAAGTTTAGTTCACTTTTCCACTCACATTCGACTTGTACAGAGGATCGCCTTCGTCCTCGAGCAACTGCATCAGCGTGGCCAGGTTTCCATGGCGGGCAGCTACGTGGACCGGGGTCAGACAGTCGTCGGTGGTCAGATTGGGGCTGGCCCCTGACTTTAGCAGCATGAGGGCGCATCTGTCGCCATCCTTGACCCGAGCTGCGATATGCAAAGGGGTTTCGCGGAGCTTGCCGCCCCGGACATGGACATCGGCTCCAAATCCGAGCAGGGTCTCCACAACGGCGGGTTTGGCCGACTCCACGGCTATATGAAGGGCCGTATAGTTGTCCTGTGAACAAATATCATTTGTTTGAGTTCCAAACAAGAAGACTATACTTGTTAACTTACATTGGTGGTCACGTCAACCTTCTCGCCCTTCTGCAGCAGCGTATTGATGATGCCCGTGTGGCCATAGGCGGCGGCGGTGTGGATACTCCGCGCTCCGTCCTTGTTGGGCATGTGGAGGTACACGCCCTTCTTGAAGAGCATCGTGGCGCACTCAGCATGACCGTTGAGTGACGCAATGTGCATCAGCGTGCTGCCATCCTTGGTGCGCTCGAAGATGCTCGCCTTGAACTTGTCGGCCAGTATCTCGATGACGTGCGCGTGCCCATTCTCGGCGGCCAAGTGCATCGGAGTGCGATCTGGGCAGAAGCAGATTAAAAGGTGGAGTAATTAGTGTTCAAAACCTTAAAGAAGATAACGAATTCTTGTCCAAGTCTAACTTATAGAGAACTGAAAGGTAAATATTACTCATACGCACTGTTGTCTTGAAAAGAATTAAAGTTACAAGGATTTCATACAAGAAAACATATAAAAAACATAATAAAGGAGTTATAAAATAAAATGTAATAGAAATTCAAATATTTCTTATATAAAAAAAGAAAAAATTAAGAAGCAAATAAGGCTTTTTCAGGGTCGTATGATGTTTTTTAAAGAACTCTATTAACATAAAAATTGTTGTTGAAGAGAATGTTAGAAAATAAACTATTATAAATTCAAATTAAAATCAAATTCTTAATGTTTCCGTAGAATATCTCCCACAAAGTATCTCATTTCATGAGCCAACCTTGGCCCAGTTTCCGGCAGACCCGGGACTCACCTTGATTGTCCGCAATGGACGCTGAGGCGCGCACGCCATAGAAGTACTTAAGGAGGGCCTCATCACCTTCGGCGGCAGCGATGTGGAGGGGTGTCTGCCCCTCACCGTTCTGCGTGTCCACATTCGTTCCATAGTCGACCAGGATGCGGACCATGTCCACGTCCCGCCGTCTAGCGGCCAAATGCAAGGCCGTGTCTCCATTGGCCGTCGTTGCCTGGGGGGAAAGGGAACGAAATACGAGCATGAGACTGCACTCGGAGAAAAATATGCAAACAGAAACGAGTCGATTAATTTGTAGTGGTTTCTCTTAAGATTAGATAGCTTCTCCAGCTTCTGGATTAAAATTCAAAATTCAAAAACGCACTTTTCTTAAACTACTTTACGATTAGTAGAGCGAATTGTGTCGTACATATTTTAGGCTCTTGTTCAATAAATATTTTGTTGAGTGTATGAGACTGCACTTTATATAAAACAAATTTATTTTGGGCTATGCAAATCAGATGCCCATCCCCACGAGTTAGCTGCGTTTTCGCCTGGCTTTTGACCCAGTTTGGTTGCCTTTTGCCGGCTGATTGCGTGCCGAAGCCGAAGCGGCCAAAGTCAGGTGTAACTTTAACTTTAACTTGAACCCCTGTAGCCCAAATAGCGAGCCAACTAGCCCGCTTTGGTTAATTTAATCAACACGCACTGCTCTTGGCATGTGTTGCACTTCAAGTTCTGATTGAAAATCGCACAAACTTTGCCAATGTCGCCGCACTGTTGCACTTTTCACCTGCATTCCAGCTCCATAACTTTCCAGTGCGTACCAGAGGGCAGCAAAATTTGCATTTTTGATTTATTTACCCAGTGGTTTTCGCGACAGTTCAAGGCAAAAAGGTCCGTGTGGACATTCTCCGACAGGCGAGCCGGACACTTTGATTGGCACCCTGGGGACGGACTTGAAAGTCTGTTTGCAATCTTAATCAAGTTTTTGTTTAAGGCCCTGTCGTGGGGTTTTAATTCCGGTCTTAAGTGGACATTTTTATAAGCCTCTGTTGGACGTTTTGATCGACAGAGTGGCAGGGATTATAAATGGTTTAGTTTTAAAGTTAAAAGAAGTATTCGATTACCAAGAAACGTTTTCTAAAACCTGGACTTTTACTTACAATTGTTTAGATTATTTTACTTTCAAGACACACAATTTCAAAGCTGAAAAACTTGCTAAATGGCTGAGGTATTTTTAGGTGTTAAAGGTTCAAATGGCCCGGAGATTTAGTCCGTGCTTGGCTGATAACTTACCTTTAGTTGGTCCGCCGTTTGTGCCGCCAGGAGCTCTCTGCACATGGACTGATTACCCGACTCGACGGCCAGGAGCAATGGGATTTTGCCACGCTAGGTGAAGGTGAGAGATAGGTTAGTTTACCTTATTTTAGTTTAGTATGGCCAATTAAGATAAGCTTACACACACACACACATTTTAGAGAACCAACACACTCGCATAGCACATAATCATTAATAACCAATTAGCCAATTCAAGCCTCAAGTGTTAACGGCAACATGTTTCTCTATTTTTAGCCAAGTTCGCAACTTTGGCGCTTCAACTTTGAAACTGAGGAGGGACAGGAGGAGGAGGAAGCAGGGGCGTGATAGGGAGTCATTATCCCTATCTACCAAAACCAAAAGCGAGTAAATCAAGTTGTACAGCGACTTGACCCCCTTTTTTTTTGGTAAAGTAAAGTTCTCTTCTGTTTGTTATTTGTTTGTTGTTGGCAACGAGTTGAGCGCCCTCGAGGGCAACTCCTCCGATACACATCCTGGCAGGTCGTATATCCAGGGAATGCGTGTGGAAAAAGGAAAGCGTATCGAAACCAAATCGAATCGAACCGAACCCGATCCGAGCTGAATGGCATCGGAAGCTAAATACTTCATCCGGCTAATTTCGCCTGACAGTGCCATTCCACCTCACTCTAATTGATTTAAATCAAGTTGCTGTTTGCCATTTGCCGCAGCCATCGGAGCGCCAGTCGAGGTGGGTAAGCGTTTCGTCTAGACAATCAATCGGTGGCACTGCCACCCGATTTTCCCCCAATCACCTCCTCCTCCCTACTCTCCCATTCAGCTCCTCACAAATCGCTCGATGGCAATTCGGTGGAAATTTATGCGCTCCCCTCGCGTGCGTAATGGAAATATCGCCTGTGCATTTGCACCCGTGCACGTGATGCGACAAATAGTTCCGCATTTCAGTCGTGGTGCTTTCGGGGGAAGCAGGCTGGAGGCACAGGATCCAGAAGGCCTAGAGTTCGGTTAGCCAATGCAAGTTAATCAGGCTGGGACGGCAATGCCGATGGTAATTCAACTCTGAATGAAGGAAACCTCATTGATACAGTGTGGAAAATGTAGAATAATTTAGGGAAACTCCAAGGAATTTTAATGTTCAATATTAATTGATTAAAGTAGTTATAATCTTGTATAAAAAAAGAAAAGTCATTATACCCGGAATTCCGCCAACTTTTATATGGACATTTTGCATTTTGGAAAATATGGTAGCATATATTCATGCGATTCTATCAAATAAAGAAAATTATACGACTATGTTTTGGCATATGTAGTTTGCATGTCGGATTTTGGGCTTCATAGGCAGATGGTTTAAAATTTAAATACTTTCTAGATTCTGAAGATTAACTCCAATTGATATTTTAATGCAAAAATGGCTTTAAAATATATGTCTAATCCAAAAAACTATTATTAATTTAAACTGATTTTCATTCGCTGTTGTAAAAGAGCTTCTACTGCTATTTCTACATTTAATTTTTCATCAAACGATATATTAAAAAGTATTTTTTATTATACATTGTACTAATTATAAATCGATGGATATTTATCAATTTTGGAAATCTTTCTTTAAGAACCGGGTTAAACAAAACAACAATTTTTTCAATTTTAAAAAACAAAAATTTTTTTATGCTGCCAAAAAAGATTTTCTTCTACAACTAATTTTTTTATCTCTGTGTAATGGACGCAATCATATTTTTTTGGCTTTTAAGATTTCCAGGCAGTTGAAATGCATTTACGGGGGGCGTTTTTTGCCTATCGATTTTTCCACAAATTCTGTTTGCTTTATGTTACTAGCTACGCTTGGAGTAGTAGTTGTTGTGCTCCTTATTGGTATATGTATATATTTTTTTGGCGATTTTTATTAAGTCTTTGTTTACGTTGGCACCGCCTGGCACTAGAGCCTCGAGAGCACTCCACTTCGCAATGGAGTCAGCTTCGCGGAAGCAAACTGCCATTGCCTGAGGAGATAATTCGGCATCAATTGAGCTGCCAACACTTGTGGCTCCCCCAGAGGCTCACAAACACTCATGCCCTCAGTCACACCAACACACAATCAAACACACATGGTCACACTTACGCCGTCCGCCTTTAAGCGAATGTCCTTGCCAGCAGCCGCAAGAAGAGCGCGCAGGATATTAGTGGCAGTTCCGGTTTGCCGACTCGACACCAAATGCACCGCAGTTTGTGAACGCGACTAGAAAAAAAAGTAGGAAGTATATATGGGTATTATTTATTATCAATAATAATTCATGAATTACGAGTATTGACGCACTTATTGGTTGGGTCTCACTTATCGATATAGGGCCGGAAAAATGTTAATGCTGCGCTATGTGGTTTAATGTTCACACCCTCTAAGGCTACGGCCTGGCTAACTGGCTGTTCCCATTCGCTTCAAAATCCCATTTGCTACTGAATAGGCGAGTGGCTCGTTTTTGCGTTTATAAGCACATTTCGTGTCATTTTTCTTTTTGGCCTCTCTCTCTCATATCACAGATTGACAGCCCAAAAAAAAAACTAAATAAAAAAAATAAAGAACTCCCACTGACAGGCCGCAATGGGTTCGAGGGAGAAGGAAGCGTCCCCGGGTGGGGGGAGTGTAGAGGCAGAAGGTGTACGACCAGGTGTCGGATTTGGATGTGGATGAGGAGTCCTTTGCCACGCACACACGCCAACGGCACACTTCAAACTTGGCTGTTGCTAAAACAAAAGTTTGCATCTGCCCGTCTCGCTTCTGCCGCACATGCCGTCTCTATTCCGTTCCGGCCCGGACCGAGGGAGCTCTCTTCTGATAACCATCAGTAATTTTGGCAAGCCCACGCCCCCTAAATCACCAGGTCTCGAACTCATTGCGGCCAAGAAAAAATGAAGAAAGCCAAATTAATGGCGACACGAGAAATAAAACAGGGTGTAATAATTGCTGGCTTCAACTTGACAGAGCTATTATCATAAAATTATTCATATTCTATTATATGGGATATTATTATCTTCTTATGTATTTAATTCTTTTAGTCCTTACGTTCATTTATTTTTATTATTTTTATTCTACTAAACTTACATTCATTTTATTCATTGTTCGATATCAAACATTCGGTTTACAACAATCATTCCTCCATATTTCCATATATTTTAATATTTATAGTCGAAACAGGATGAAATTAAAATTTAAATGAGAATTTATGAACATAGCAGGTCCTTTATTAACAAAGAAAATAAGTCTGTTATTAGTTATTAAAGTTACTTTTTTTCGTAAAAAATTCTTTCTTCTTTCATTAAAAAAACAAGATTATAACCATCCGTGATAAGTCTATCTTGATCTGTGGATTTACTTCAAATTTCTGACCATGCATTAACGTTTTAAATAAAATTTATATGCTAACCTATTTTTTTTTTTATTTTTCCCATTTTTTTTAAATTATTTCATATTTTATTTTTACAATAATTAATAGTTACAATTTCTCTTTAGAAGTTAGACTCTATTGGCCCTATAATTTGTGTTACATCTTTAATAAACAAATATGGCAATAAGTTACCCCTAGTTTTGGACCTTATAGGTTTTCCCAGAAATTACTCTTCCGCCACTCTCAAAGCTTCTAATATACTTCTAATATACTTCCTTAAATAACATAAACTTTAAACGTAAATATCCTGGCAACCACTGCAGAGGTTTGTTTACTTTGAGAGGTCGGCTCTTCATGTAGCGGCAGTGGCTTTAATCGGGGCCTAGACATTACCATCTTAACCTTGTCGCCAGTTAATTGCCGGGCCCCGCCAAAGTCACATGCAACATGCGAGCCGCAAAGTTGCATCTCCTCGGTTTGTAGGCTCTGACCTTTGTTTTCATGTTTCTTGAACGTTTTTTTTTAGGCAAATGAAATATGCGTCTAATGGCCGCTAATTGCCCGCGAATCAAGCTGACAGCAGCCTCAAGGTATGCAGCGACTCGACACTCGAAACTCCTGGGACTTGAGAATCGAGAGTGTCGCTTGACGTGTCGCGGCGCCAGCTATTACAGAATTTTTTCCTGACTCACAACGAATGTGAAGCCCCCGATATATAGTATAATGGTATTGGAATACTCACGCCACCGGTGGAGAAGGGATCGACACCGCGTTTTGTTAGCAACAATTTGACGACATCCTCACGCGAATACATTGCCGCAATGTGTAGCACATTATAATTATCCTGCAAAAGAATAAGTGTGGGAGAAATCAATTGCAATTCACTGGCAGGAAACACACTGCCACCGTAAATGAAATGAGTGAGCTGGGTCAGTTCAATGGGTCAAAGTCGGTTAGTCTGTTAGTTTTGCATGTGGCGGCTCCTCAGCAAAGCCAATGGCAAAGGAGTGGCCGGTGGTTGATTACTTAAGCCACAATCTTGCATGCGGACTTTCACTTACGGACATTTCTTAATGGCCACAGCCCAGCCGAAACCCAAAAACTTCACATGCAAAAACTGCATCAACTGCTCCCCGAATCCCCTACAAACCCAATCCCAACAAAAAACAAAAAGTAAACCAAAATGTGACCCTGAGAAAATCACCGAAACGAAAAGTGCTTTAAGATAACGTCTTACATGAAGTGTGGAATTCTAGCCATGGCTTAGATGGCTTGGAGTGATGGCAAGTGACTCACATGGGAATTGGGGCATGAGGCAATATTTATTGCTGCTTTATATAATAAGCCATAACGCAGCATGTTACACATACGCCCCGTGTGCCGTAGGCTTAATTTATACCTAAGCCTCCCCATTGTTCTCAACCAGAACGGAAGTGAACTGGTTTCATACATATGGTATGTATATATTTGTAAGTAGGGAGTGAAACAAGAAAGGTATTTTTGCCCTGTCATCAGGTTGGTAAATGGTAATTCCAAATGTTTTATAAAGGATTCGATAAAACCGAAAATCATACATGGCAAGAGGTTTATAAGTTAAGCTTGAGGTTTTGAATTACTTATTTAAAGGTACTTATTACTATGTATTGGACAAAAACAATAAAAAAAATATATTTAATAATAAAGAAACTCAACAAATCATTAAATAACTATCTTAAAATTAAACGCCTTATTTCGTTTAGAAAAATGAAAAGTCAGCTCTTAATAAAATTAATTTCTTATAAGAAATTCTCATAGTTAATTAAAGAACCGTAGTAAGAGTCTCTTCTATTCGAGGTATTTGAAATTAAAAAATTTCCCTGTTTTATTTGCGACTATTTCTGGCCATAGCTCCCTGCTAATTTGCATAAAACGCCAGCCAGGCAGTAAGCCAGTCGAACGGGCTTCCAGTCGACGGCTTTGACACATGTCCAGAAAGCCAATCCGAGACGTTGGCCCGAAACAAAAAGCCAAAGTAAACATAGAACCACAAGACGGCCCAAAAGGAGTCGCCCAAGGAGCGAAAGAAGCCGAGGACTACAAGGTAGACAGATAATATTTCACGCGCTGTTTTGCATACTTTTCAGACCGCTTCCAGTTTGTTTGGTAGACTCTCGTGTTTTGGTTTTCAGTTTGAGTTCGAGTTAGTGTTTGTGTCAGTTTGTTGGGCCAGGGCGAAAGCAAAAACCGGAAACAAAACCAAAACGGAAGCGCAAATTTTCCAGCACATTTTTGCTGCTTTGGCCGTAAGAGGTGGGTCGACCCAGTTTCGTGGGTGTTTTTCCCTTTTTATTTTGTTTTATTTCTGCAGATAGTGAGGTGCATGAGGCCGAGGATGAGGATGTGTGTGCCACGTGGATGTCCTGGCACGTTGACGCCCAGCAAATGAAGTCATTTTAGTCCATTGTCACACACCTTCCGACGGAGCTTTAAAATAATTGCAAGACCTCATTACGCGACTCATTTGAATTTCGCTCCTTGCATGTGCACTTGCGGCTAATGGACTTAATTAATTTTTCCTCTTTCTTTTCATTATAGATGGGGGCACGCACTTTTATTGCTTGACAAATAATTCGCCCTCATTACTCCGCATTTTATTTCACGCTGTCATCGCACTCACATCACATGTGGAGCGGCCACTGCGTGAAGTGCTCCGCTTGGATTTAATTAAAATTGCATATTAATGACGCCACCGGCCATAAAAATGTAGCGGAAGTGGCGTCTGACGTCGAGGACCTCGTCGTTTCGGCCACTCGAAAGGTCAGGCCGCAAGAACCTCGAGGTGCAAACGGAGTTTTGGCCAACTGGGCGTACATCGGAGTCATGTGCTTGATTAATTGGCCTTTAAGTTGCAAGGAGGTGTTGCCAACAGGCCCTTGGCTTTCCAAAATTAAATGAAATAATAGAAAGACTCCTTGGAGTTGAAGAGTTAAAAATGTTAATTAGTCCGCCGTTACATCATACGTGTGTACGGATGTACTTTACAATGGTCATAAGGTCATAATGGTCCTGGAGCTGTCGTGTTGAGCGTGAATTACTTAGGCCTGGTCTGACAGTTAGATAAGTTGCAAATTATAAATGCAATAAACATTATTCCCGGGCTGGAGTCGAGTTTTTAATTCATTAGGCCTGGGTTGGGGAGGGGCGGTGCAAATAATATTATCTCTGTGAGTCACGGAGTGACATTTGCGAGCCAAAAGAGTAATGATGCAGGTAAGGTGTGGCTTAGGTAATGAGACCAGGATGATAAGTTAACATAAGAGGAGGTGTAACCCTTACAGTGTCGTAAGAATTAGTGCTGAGATGAGGTCATACATATGTATATGGGGAGAGGGATACTATTTTACTTTCTCGAGCGTAAAGAACATTATGGGAGCCATACTTATAGGGCTAAAAATATTATTGTAATAGGTTTTTTTAAATAAAATTTTACTACTTTCTCTAAAAATAAATCAAAGAAACGAATTTCAAAAGTATGAGATACGAAGAAGACATTATATTTCATCCATAAGCTTAAATAAATGACTTGTTCCAAAGTATAAAACATTCATAAGAAAAACATTTATATCTAGAAAACTTTTCCCGGCAAGGTTGAACAAAAGTTACTATGTTTGTTTTGGTAATTCAATTGGCCATGTCTGCTCAGGTTTGGCAACAATTATTTTGTAATTAGGTCAAGGATTTTATCGTTTCTAGCCCTGAAGTACGCATATACGTACGGACATGTGAATGGTCAGCCAAAAAAAGAAAAGAAGCAAAGCCCAAATGTGCTAAGTAATTGCGGCATGCAAAGCTGGCCGGGCTGGAGAGCTGGCCCACAAAATCGGCCAATTGTTAGCGGGCGGACTTAATGGGCAACGATGCCAAACTGCTCACTTCATTGGAGGGCCTGCCCACGGCTGCTGACATCGAAACGAGAATTGGCCATAATCACGATGGCAAATGGCCAAAGAAATCAGGATAAACATCAGCGCTGACCTTTCATCTTCACTTGTTAACCTCTTTTTAGAGGTTGTTTCACTTAATTGAGATTTAAGTGGAGCTACTGGCTTTAAAAGGAAATTTAAAGGAACATATTGATAGAAGCGGCTTTAATCCTTCCATGCTACATTTTTAAAATAATCTACAGATTAAAAATTAAATGCAAAATTTGAGGACCTAACCCTATTGCTTAAATCCACAGGAGTATTAACTTTGACTTCGACCAAAAGACCTTTAAGGAAATTCCCATGCCGACTTTAGCGTGATGTGGTTTATTTTGGGGGTTCTTCGTGAAAAGCCCAACTCGACTTGACTCAAGTCAATTGAGGGAAACTCGACTCGAGACTCGACCGTTGGCCAAGCTCGGTTCGGTTGACCCATTGAGGGATTGAGGTATTGAGACATAGTGCCTTCGGGTGAGTGGTGCGTGAGAATCGTGCGTAGTTGTGGGTGGATGTCGGCTCAACCCACTGACGCCCCGCTCGAGATTTAATTATGCGGCTTTTATTGATTTGACACAATTTCAGGGGCTTTTGTTTCGCCGCTCTTTGCTAAAACAGCTGGCCGGCTTCTAAATTTGGCTACAATCCACATGGAGCCTGCTTTAAATAATTCCTGGAATTTTTCCGGAAAGCACTTACGTTATTTCGGGCTCCCACATCGGCGCCAAGTTCAATCATGCGATCCATTATGGCCGTCTTGTTGTCCTTGGTTGCGTACATCAATGGAGTCATGCCGGTGTTCTGAAAAAGAGTTTATTAAATTTATATAAAATCGACGTAAAAATGTTTGAGCTATAAAATAATAATTACAATATATGTATATATTTATTTAATAATATAATGTATATTCTCAAATATTGATTTAAAAATGCATTTAATTATTAAATCTGCAGGAGCTTTTGACTTTTAGTCCTTATCAAAATTCTACTCTATAGATAGCAAGTACAAACATATGTTTAAAATTCTAATGAACGCTTTATCCTTTTTTTATCCTAAAATATAATACATATGTATTTATTCCCAATAAAATCATATATTGGATGATCCCATAGGAGGGATCATACGGAAATATATCTGTAAGAATTTCATGTGATATAAATGTAACAAACGGTCTTTCTGTTAAAAAAAAAAAAATATAACGAAGATATATTATCTTTTGACCTGATTGATAGTCTTAGCGTGGAATTGCATACATCATCATTATCATAGACTTGTTGGCCACTCCAGGCTTATATTCAAAACTCGATTTGTCTGTGATTGTCCCGTCATTAAAACCAAATCAAGAAACCAAAAACCTATCAAGCCAAAATCTAAGCGCCAAACCCCAAAGAGCCTAGAGCCCTCAAACAGCAAAAATAACTATGCCAAAAATAGCCAAATTCTAGCCCTGGTCTGGGCCATATTTATGCAAATATTGTCTCGGGCCCAGTCTAGTCTGGCAGACAATCTGAAATGGTAGCATAGCAATTCCAACCCTTTTGCTTTTGCACCTCCCCCGCATTTCATTAGCGGTTCTCCCGCCCTCGACTGTTCCACGTTAATTTTATGTCAACGACTTTTTCGCTTGATACCGTTTATGGTAAATTGAAATCGAAGCGCTTCAATTGTTCGATGTTTTATGAGTTTATTGGGCAGGTAGTCAGCGCAACTTGTGGCAGGACGCCCCGAAACTCACAATTCAGACTTGGGCGCTGGAAGTCAGAGCCCGAAACTCAAAGCCAAGCCATCGCCTTGGCAGCCAAACATTTGGGACGCGCTATCAAATAACATTCATTCTCTCCCGGCCTCTGTTTTTCTGTTTTTAGCTTTTTTGAATGTTTGGTTTTTCTTTCTGTTTTCTGGCCTCCAGTTCTTGTGCCCTGTGTGTCGTTATTTTGGCTGGTAAACAACCAGAAATGGGAAAATGCCGACGACGTTGATAAGGGCGACGTTTGTACATTGACTACACTATAAATAATGATTTTTCTATTCCACTTAGTTTCCTAAATCTTAATAATTTTTGTACAAAATTTAAGAATAAATAATACTTAATTATGTGATAATAATACTTTATGTGAAAATACATAAAACACCAAACATTTCTCTCAGTGCTAGCCCCGTTCCCGTATTTATTTCGATTCCTATTCCCGCTTTGGCTGACAATTGATTTTACAAATTTTCGCCGCAACAGCCTGCAGATGGCTCACTGTACAGTACTCACCATATCATGCACTCCGGCCAGCGGGATATGGTTACCGTCCTCGCCCACATTGGCCACATACTTCTCGAGCTTCTTCAGCTCGGCCTCGATGGGCGTCCATTCACTCTTCATGGCCAGTCCGAGGACTTTGTTGGCCGTGTCCCGAATGGAGGCGCCGGCACTGGGTGGCTTCGGGGCGGGATATAGGTCCATGTCCTTCTTGTCGCCATTACTCGAGCTGTCGTCCTTGGGATCCGAGTCGGCTTTGCTGGCCGGAGTTGCCCTTTCGCTGGGCGTGGCCGAATCATCCGGCGGACCGGTCAGCGACGAGGGGGTTTTGCGTCCGACGCCGGCGCCCCCGGCACCGCCACGTCCACCACGCCCACCGCGCGGCTGCGACATCCTGAATACGGCTCTAGTATCCTTGCCTTCGGTGCGATCTAGGGTTTCCTGTTTCCTTTTAGAACATTACACAACAACAATAAGAACAGAACGGAATCCGGGATCAGGAGGGATTCCAGGTTAAACACTTTGGGCCGTTAAATGGTTTATGCTGCCATTATCTATGTTATGTTGCTCGGTTATTGTATTATTATTGATTTGGTTCGCGATTCGGGGGATTGTGGATTTCTGCTGCATACTTTTAGGCTCCTCCGCTTCGCACACTCGCATTGCACAAATTCCTACGGCCTCCGCATTTTACCAATATTTGTTACCAACAATTTGCATTTTCATTGGCAACAGCAAAAGGAACCAGAAGCAGAAGCAGAAGCAGCAAAAGCAACAGCAACAGCAGGAGACACATATACACACAGACAAATATACACTCAAAACACGGACGAGTAACAAAAAACGTTTCCAGCTAGTAGCCAGGCTTCTGGCCAACACATCCGCTTGCTATTATTCCACTTTGATTCTTTCGCTTTCTTCACTTTTACTACACAAATTTATATGTTTAGCCCCTTTATGACTTTGGTTGCGTGTGCGTTAACGGCGGTGCCCCCTTTTATTTTTTTCTTTTTGATTTTTTTCTTTCCTTTGCCTTTTTGGCCAACTGAATGTCCTCTAGCCACTGGCACTTGATACTGTGCTTTTCTTCGAGCCCAAGTCTTGGGAGCAACCAACAACCGTTTGCCACGAGCGTCTGCGAGTTTCTGATTTGCCAAACTCATTTCCCCATCGAGTTGAGTTTTCCCAGGAGCTCGAGCGGAAAAACTCGGCCTGCCACTCGGCGGTCCTGGTTGGGCGCCTTGGCAACACGACGAAACTCCCAAGACGAAAGACGCTCCCGCGAAACCCGAAAACGGTAAGCCAACTGGCATCCGCGCAAGCGTTTGTTTACAATTGTTGAATCCCCACTCCGGTTTTGCCAAATAACACTTTTTGGCGCCAAATCTCAGCCGGCCGCCTCTTAGCTTTCGTTGGGATTTCCTTAATTGCTCAATTGTTGGGAATCCAAGGGAATTCAATCAAAAACCTTAGGGAAAATCCAAATGAGCGTCTGCCAGTGTAATTAGGTAAAGAAAGTGGAGTAGAGGCACTTCAATTTGTTGGATATTTCATAGTATGTAACATAAAAACCTTTAAATTTTGGAAAAACGTAAAAATCATAAAAGCCATAAAGGAATTATGGATAAACCTGGAGTATCAAAAAATAAAATTGACACAAACTTTTAGTGTTTTTGAAGAAAAATAAAAGTAGTTACATAGCTATATTTTGTTTAATAAGGATGCCCAAATTTTTTGAATTTTTATCTTTAGACTAAGACCATAAGACTACTAAGTAAGTAAGATCTTAAGCCTATAACTAGTCTAAAAGAAAGCTGTCTGAAAGATCTTCATATAAATATTTTATTTTCTGGTATCTTACGAATCTTAAAATTGTTTAAGTTTGTTCCAAGGATTCAAAGCTCTTTATTAACTTTGAAATATAATTTATATTTTATATCCATTCAAAATGAATATTAAAAAAATTATATTAAGAATAATGTACTGTGACTAATAGTTCTTCTACTTATAGGTGATAATTTCTAGTAGTTAGGTATTATATATAAACAAAAACCTTTACCCTTTTTTGCACATTATGCCTTTCCCAACAATTGCAAATATAAATAAAATAAATGTGGTATGTTTATTTATACCTCTCTGATTAGCTTGAAGGCCAAAGAAATAATAGTATTTTGGTGGGAGCAGACATCGCCTTCTTATGGGGTCTAATAGTATTATCAACAAAGATAAGAGTTTATTCCAAGCGAAGCGAAAATTCCGTCTACTAAACTTATCAGGGATGCCCAAGTCAATGCTCCAAGAGTAGCCGCATGAGCTTTTCTTATCTGATAGAGATTGTTTTCTTATCAGCTAAGTTAGACACTATCTTTTAGGGAAACTAAAAGCCCAAAACACTTGGCATCTTTTCATTTTGACCTACACGGTCAAAATAAATATATACATATTTTGTTGAACAAGATAGTAGATACCACTATCAGAGCGAACAAACAAATACTTTACTGTGATACAGTAGTCGGTATTACTAATAAAATAAGTAGTCCCAGTAACTAATAAATCTTTATCAATAATCCACATCCTTTTATTGTCCATATCCAATTTTATTTTATTGGATACCCACACAAATGTTCCCAAATAAGTTCTCTGTTGGATTTCTGTATGAACATATGGACAAATTTTAGATGGGAGAACCCAAACAGAGCAGGGAATCACGCCACAAACGGAAAGCTTCAAACATTATACAGGGGCTTAAAGAGAGTGTTTCTGAGGGGGGTTTTAGTTTTGTGGTCACCCAATAAATTTATTTATAGTCTGGTTTTTCAAACAACAAAGTTAAATTCTTAAGAAGTATTTAGCAAATATATAGAAAAAATAAAAAGGACTAAATTCTTTTCAAAGACACTATTTTTCTAGTTATTATCCCCCCTTAAGTAAGCCACTGACTTTCAAAAAAAGCTTTACTCAGTGTCAACTGGTTGTGCAAATTAAATAGCCAGGCAAATAAAATAAAAACAAAACAAAAACACAAACACTCAGACACCACGATAGGACATAGCCAGCACGTGTGGCATAGCCAAATAAAAGCAAACACAGCAAAACAAATGCGGCACTGAAAACGATCTTGGCTAGCCAACAACAACAAAATAATAATAATAATAAAGTTCAAACACTTGTATATAGAACCGGCAGAATCAAAAGCTGCGGAGAATATGTGATTATGGAAACCCCTCCGCTCAGTTTGCTTCAGAACTTGACGGGCATCAGACGTTCTCCTGAACTTCCTCAAAAGGAAAACCATTCACGAAATAGTTTTCAATTATTTATTTTTTCATTAAGAAAAAATATTTTACTGTTAAAGAGTGTGTTTGTGCCTAGTATGGTTATAACTTTATACTAAACTATAAAAAACAGCTGTGATATCCAACATGTTGAACGGAAAGCTGCAAACTGTTTCCAGATATGCTTTGAGGCAGAAATGTGTCTTTAAGTCGATTCGCAGGTAGGATGCTCAAGGACATACATGTCCTTCCGAGAGGGTTTTTATTTTTTTTTATAAAGCAGTATCTTTAGTGAAGTAATATGGGAAATCTTCCATTATCTTAATGCGCATTTTTTTTTAATATGGTCTTTAATATACAAACCCCCGTCTACTACTTCCTCACCCTCGAATTCTGCCCAGAAAGTTGCGTAACCGTTCCGATTCCAGATTAATGGTACAGTTGCCCCAGTCTTGGTTTAATATTATAGTTAGTACAATTCATTATTATAATACAAGGTTAAAAAGGGGCGTGGCAAGCCAGGAATTGGGGGCCAAAAATATACCCATCGGGTGGCGTTAATTATCTTGTATTAATTAGATGACTTTTAAAAATATGATAAGCAAATCGCCAGCAGAACTTTCCATTCGCTTGATAACTTATGGTCAGCGATGTCGTAGCCAAGTACAAAGTTAAACGTTTTATAAAGAGGCCTTTTACAATACTACGTATGCATTACAATAACGTAATCAAACTTTTAGAATATACGTATAATGTGCTGTAATCTTTAATTTTTATTGAAAAATCTGCCGGCACGCGCCAATCTTCTTCAAAGCAATCAATAGCTAATAAAATGCATGTACTTTTAAAATAAAAAAAGTTATAGTAATAAATCAAAAGATAATACTTTTGTTGGCATATTCACACCCACTTTAACAGAAATTAAATATAAAGCTTTTGATTGAAAAGCTTTCGTATTTAGCGAAGGTGCCAACCCACCAAATGTCAAGTCAACAATTGAATTTTTTTCACACGTAGACAGGGGTTTGAAAAACCTATTTCAAAAATATAAAATAGCTTTCAAATAGTTTATTATTAGGTTGGTTTTCTTATGATACTGATGCTTAACTTTATGGTTTTATTTAATTTGAATATATTGATATACAAATTAAGCTTATTGCATATAATTAATATAACAAGTTTGTAAGGATAATAAGATCAATAAAAGAATATTCAAAAAATAAATAATCCTTCATATTTTCCCATTTTTTAGCATCTCTACCTCACTACCAATCCTGATTAGCCACAAACACCATGTGGGCAAAGATCCACTGGTTTACCGAACTGTTGGAAGCCAATTGGAACTATCAGCAGCAGAGTTTGGAAATACAGAGGCTATCGTCTCGTGTCACGAGGGAAAGCGATACACTTTTAAGAGCCTTTTGAAGGAAGCGGATGGCCTGGCGGCGGGTCTGCTGAAGCTGGGACTAAAGCGTGGTGATACAGTGGGTCTTTGGGCTCCAAACTATATGCACTGGTATCTGGGAATGATGGGAGCTGCTAGAGCCGGTCTCACCTCGGTGGGAATCAATCCCGCCTTCCAGGGACCCGAGGTGGCCTACTGCCTGAATAAAGTGAACATAAAGGCTATCATTGCGCCAGAGTCCTTTAAGACCCAAAACTATTACGAGATTCTGAGAGACATCTGCCCGGAGATTGTGAACGCAGAATCGGGCAAGATCCGCAGTGAGAAGTTCCCGCATCTGCAATCCGTTATCATCAACAGTAACGACAGGTTGAAGGGTGCAATTCGTTTCGACGACCTTCTGGACTTGGCCAACAAGTCGGAGCGGGAAGAGATATCTAAAATCCAGAACCAAGTCCTTCCAGAGTCTCCTTGCAATATTCAGTTTACGTCAGGAACCACGGGAAATCCCAAGGCGGCTGCTCTGTCCCATTACAACTTCGTGAACAATGGTATCCATGTGGGCAACCGGAACGAACTGGCCGGCGAAAGGATCTGCGTTCAGGTGCCAATGTTCCATGCTTTTGGAGTGGTAATCACGATTATGGGTGCGATGACCAAGGGAGCCACTATGGTACTCCCAGCCGCCGGTTTCAGTCCCAAAGACTCCCTCCAGGCGATCGTCAATGAAAAGTGTTCAGTCCTCCACGGAACACCAACCATGTATGTGGATTTGGTGAACACCCAAAGGAAACTGAAACTGCCACTGGGCAGGATCAAGAAAGCCGTTACCGGAGGTGCCATTGTTTCGCCGCAACTTATCAAGGATGTTCGAGAGGTCCTTGGCGTAGAATCCGTGCGAAGTGTGTACGGGCTGACGGAGACCACAGCTGTCATCTTCCAGTCCCTGCCTGGTGACCATGATGACATTGTCCTCAACTCAGTGGGTCACCTGCAGGATCATATCGAGGCCAAGGTGGTGGATGCCGAGGGCAAGTGCGTCCCTTACGGCCAGCCAGGGGAACTGTGTGTACGAGGATACGTTACTATGTTGGGCTACCACGGTGACGAAGAGAAGACCACCGAAACCATTGGCAAGGACAAGTGGCTCCGCACTGGCGACCAGTTTATCCTGGAGGAGAACGGATACGGACGCATCGTGGGCCGTCTCAAGGAAATGATAATTCGCGGTGGCGAAAACATTTTCCCCAAAGAGATCGAAGACTTTTTAAATGCCCATCCGGACATTATCGAAGCACATGTGAGTTGCGTATTTTTTTGGTTTTTATTTATAATATTTAATTATTTATTTTTTTCAGGTGATAGGTGTTCCGGACGAGCGACTGGGCGAGGAGGTTTGCGCCTTTGTCCGCCTTAATGAGGGCGTAGACCCTGCCTCCATTACAGCAGAGGCTCTAAAGGCCTACAGCAAGGGAAAGCTGGCCCACTTCAAAATACCTCGCTTTGTGATTCCCGTAGACTCATTCCCGAAGACTACCTCTGGCAAGATCCAGAAGTTCAAACTAGTAAAAGCATTTAAGGAGAGACAGAGTCAAGACCGCAATACTGCCAGGGCTTAGATATAAAATGCTTATATCTTAATAAATAAAACAATAAATTAAGTTTTTAAAATTAAATCTAGCCTTTTCCTTCAGAACCATTTTTCTTTTGGAGTATACTTTTTTTGAAGCATACTTTAAGGAGTCTTTGAAAATTTGTTTGTGTGACAGATTGCGTTCAAAAATTGTGCCATATGCATATGTATTACCCTGTCTTGTACAAAAAGTGTCGAACGATGAACTATAACTCAGTTTCCTTTTCAATTATTTATTATATTATATTTATTCAAGAGGTGAAGGGCTAGGGTTGGCCGAGTATGGATGCCATAAGACTTAAAGGGGTTTCATGTCCTACGAACTTGGGAAAAAAGTCTAAGCATATGAGATTTTCTCTTCCCCTGCTAATAAAAATAACTATTTAGTAAAATAAAATTTATTAGAATGAAATGGAACAATATAAAACGTAAAAACAAGTAACGTGCCGATGGAGATAAAGCGGAAAACGTGCAAACAAACCTAGCGATTTGGGGGCGACTTTAATCGCGCAAAAGTCCGAACCCATTCAGCTCGGAGCATCGAGTTCCGATAGCAGTCATTGCTCGATCTTTTATGACCCAGCAACGCAGCCTGATTGGGCCTTTATGTTTGTGTTTTTCGCAGTTCTTCGATAGCACGGGCTTTACTCATCAAATTTTAAACCAGAACAAGCTTTTAAAAGAATATCAGACTATTACGGAAAAATACAAATGATACACCAGTTGGAGCGACACCGTTTACATAAATTTCTAATCAAGACGATGAAATAGAACTCGAAAAGGAATAAGAATGAGCCAGTCAAGTCGAGGGTGGAGTAAATATACAGCCATAATACCTTCCTCTCGGCTTGCCCTTATCAGTCCAGTTCTGGGGCGATAACGCTGACGATTTTGGGCGCCTGTGATGTCCAAATATTTGGCAACGTCAACGGCTCAGTTTGTGATCAACACGCGCCCAAATCGGAGAGGAGACGTATGTAAATATTTCATATAGCTAGTCCATACTGCGTCTTTAGGCTAATTAATAAAATTAATAAATAATCCAGCCGACGAAAAGAAATCAGTGAGTGGTGATTTTTTGGAACCGCTCTTCATTTGCATAGGAGTGACCGAAAAACCTGGGTCAGTTGACATTGGAATAACTGAGCCGGTGATGTAGCAGAAAATGAAACAATAGTAGACGAAGAAGTTTTTTAGTTTTAGCCAGTTTCTATCTTGTGGTAGGTTAGTAATGTTGTGAACGTCTTTACAAACATATCGGTCGCCTCATAAGGTTTCTTCATTTTCCAAAGTTTTGATAGTGGTTATCTGGAAGGCGGTAAGATAAAGGTGCGATTGAGAAATTTAAGAAGTCTGCCCTTATTTGACCAAAAATAAAGTGCATTGAAATATTGGTAACTATCCAACATATTAAAGCTAATTTATGCTTAAGGTAAAAGTAAATTTTTAAAAATTTTTTAAAAAATTTTAAAATATGTATATTACTTCAAAGCTTAAGAAATAACGAACAAATGTAGGGAAATGTTACGTATACGCAACGTATACCCATTTCTTGTATCGTTAAATGCCGGTTGAGAACCTTAACTTTCACCAAACAATACTGATTTCATTTGACAATGAAATCCCTTATAGTATAATACTCCAAAACAAAGATTAAACTCCAGACAGGTACTTGAGTTTATTTTGACCAAAAACAATCTTAGCTAACCTTGAAACAAATAACCAATAAATAACTATTAGGATTTTCGCCAATTAACCATTGACCAAAAACCCAAACTTCCATTAAATCACGAGTCTTGTGAATCAGACAAAGGAAATCACAACGACTGCCATAAACAGCCAATTGATTATAATTGAAGAACTCTTTTGAAGATGACTATTTAAACAGTCTAATCTAATCACAAATCCCTGTCATGAGGAGAATTAGTGAGTATTTTATGCAGGGGATGGATGGGAATTTTCGTTTCAATTGGGAAATAAATCAAAACCTGTCAAACAGTAGCTAATTGAATTTATTTCTTTGCACAATCTTAATATTAATTTCTGTTATCTAAAATTATTCACGCATAAATTAAGCGAATGCAGTTGAATGGAAAGTAGAACTGTGAATGATCCAATAGGGACTAGACGTTTCCTAGTTCCCAAACGTAATTAAATATTTATAGATTGCATCGAAGCACTTGCATCGTTTTTATGAGTTTATTAAGTGCGAATTATTTCAAAATTTGTTTTCCCTTTCGACTTTGTTACGCGACGGTGGCAACAATTATAAAATTAACACTAATAAAAAAACTTATAAAAAAAACTACTAAGATATTCAAGATTTGTGTCGATCCCATTAATTTTCAATAATATTGATGCGCAAATCGCATTTTCAAGCATTTCAAGTGAACTAATTCCCGCGCCGAAACAATTCCATGCTAATTTGTGATATGTTACTTATACCTGTAACATTATACCATATTTAATACGGGTGATGACTGTGTAATCGTTTCTTAATGAAGTAACAAATTAATTATTAATGAAATAACAAGCACCTGTTACAAAGTAAGGCAAAGATTTGAATTTAAAGGTTAAACAAACAGGGTAAAAGTTTTCCAAACGAAATATATTTTGGTTAAAGAAAGCTCTTGGTATTTGACAATTTCCAAATATTCTCCGCACAAGTATTAATAGAAGACCACTTTGATGGTTTCGAAACCTCAGAAAAATGTCTAAAAACTAGAAAAACGTATTTATTTTGCACAGATATCTGAAAAGCAACCATTTAGATATCTTTATCGATAGTGAGCGGGATTTTATCCGAGCTCAAGCTCAGATTTCGGCTCGATGAGGGGGACTAAGCTGCGGTTGCGATTTATTTTTTCTCATAATTCGTTGGGGCTTTTTGGGGTCCGTGAGTGCCAAATCCGGCGCACTCAGTACCAGTCCGAGACCCAAATCAGACACAGTTTTAGTTCCCAGCTCCCTGTTCGGTTTTCCAGTTCATCTTCTGCGGCCACCGGCGACTGTCGAGCGTTCTGATCGCGGAAAACAAAAACAATTCCGAGCAAACAGTCCAGTCCGCCGAGTTCAAACAACCGTACAAATAAACTAGATTGCAGGGTGTGTGTGTGTGTGTGCCGGAGAGTGCCTTTGTGTGGTTGTGCGGCTGGGCTTAGCCGATTCCTACGAGTATAGGCATATATATAGTAGCGCCAGAAGTCGTGCTCGCGCATTCGAGCCTCAAACACCTGCGGCCCACGTCTAACAGTCGAGCTAACGGTAACCGAACGAAAAATCGAACGAAATCGATAACCACGATCACTTCCGGTGCGTGTGTGTGCAATTCGAATGGTGGTTCCTTTAAATTAGTCGCTTGTAAAAAAAGCATAACAACTGCAAAACGCTGAAGCCCTTTCTCTTTCGCACCCATATCTTACGCACCCACGAAGCCGCAGTAGCAGCATCAAATAAAAAAAATACAAAATAAATAAATAAAAAAAAATCAGCAGTAACAGCAGCAGCAAGCTCTGCTAATTTTAAACGGTAATCCCATGTTTTTGTTTTTGTATAAATTACAGTCCATAGCAGCTCTCCCCGAGTGTGTGTCTTTTTCGCGCGTGTGTGTCAATGTTTGGGTGTGCTGTGTGTGTTTGTTGTGTTTATTTTCCATGGTCCACGCATATTTCGGAAAAAGGAAAATTTTATTTTGTAATATTTGTAAATCGATAAATGATAAGGGATAACGACTATCGAACGATTCGTATCGTATATCTTATCGCACCAGTTTGAAATCTACATGGGAACATTTCTAATTAGTTTGCTGATCGAATCAGATTTGATTTATTAATACATTTTTGAAAAAAATGTATTTTTTTGCCTAACTATTCCATATCAAGAATTTTATTAAAAGAGCACCAGCATATGTTGCGATACTTGAAATATCACTCATACGCAACGTTGGCCAAAACTTTATTCTTAATTTTGTTCTCTTTTGCCGCAAGGAGCTACTTTCTTTTCTTTTTGAACTTAAAAGTCAAAACTTCCCGCTACATATATCTGAAATAATAAGAAAAACTAATTAGATCATTTTTAAACTCAAACTAACGCTAAAGAAACGTGTACCTGGATAAATGGTATAACCAATCAACAATTACACTTGACGAATCGCTATCGTAAGACAAACAAAAGGTGCCAGCAGATCAATATAGAAATTGTTATCCCAACCCCCGACTTTCTTGAATTAGTTTGGCATGAAGATCAAATAGGTGCGATTATTCAACCGCATAATGACAGTAAAACGAGCACTTAGTGACTGATAATATCCCAGGCAAATATTGGACAGACGATGTGCTGTAAAGAGATGTACCCTGGCCATTATCACACCTCAAACCCCATTGGAATTAGTCAAAGGCAAATTAGGAATCACAAGCCGATCGTAAACATTCAACAATAACCAAATAAAAGTAGGCAATTGGCGGGATTTTAGTGTTTGGCCGAGTTGGCCTTATCGCGTGAGGCTCCAGTATCCACATTTGTTTAGCTATCTGATTCAGATATATGTATACACAGATGATAGTATTATGGATAGTATTATATTGTATTTGTGTTGGCAAACCTAATTAGCTTGGAGCCAAGTCGTAACTCGGAGGCCGGGACTCGTCCAACTTATCAAGAACCGTGCAAAAATTGAGAAAAAGTCGCTATAGCTCGACGTCCAATTTGGCATTTGAATTGTCACCCGTTCTTTGTCAATTATCCGACATAATTGGAGTACAATGTGCAATGAGAGCGGGATACATGAGGTACATACGACTGGCATTGCATTGAAACGTCACTTGGCCCACTTGGGGAGTTTGAACTTGAAATCAGTAGAGCTTCTCCCTCACACCCGATGCCCATCCCGATCCATGGGCCTTAATTAGAATCATCTGTTGTTGCATCTGCAACTGCATGCCCGAGTCCCCGAATCCATCATGATCTGCTGCCCCAAACGAGGAAGTCTTGCTGGGCCCAATGAGCCGCTCAGTGGGTCGTCCATTTGGCCGGTGCATCCACCACTCAGATTTAAATGCGAATGCGCTTGACCCAAACAGCAGTAGAAGCATTAGCTACTACAGCCTCAGCTGAAGCAGCAGCCACCGACAAAATCCCAGCTCGGACCTTCGCCGACGGCCCCACATGAAAGTCGCTTGTTTAATTATCGCGCATACGCCGCGTTGCCCAGACAGACGGTCAGCCAGCTAAATGGCATCGCAAACATCCTGCACTAATTTCATGCTCGGGGAGGACTAATTAGACACTGCCAAACAATAATTGATTTGGCGCTCACCGTAGAGACTACATATAATGAAGACATTTCAGAAAATATTATTCTCAGTTTATTTTTAGAAGAAACTCAATTGAGTTGCATGTTATTAATTAAAAGGATTGAAAGAAATTTTCTACATTTTTCTTTTGAAAAAAATAAAAATATTTAGATATGGGAGTAGAAAATAATAATATTTCTTGAAGCCCTTTAGGTCAGTAATATTATTAGGTTAAATACATTTAACTTTTTTTATTACTTGCTAATTTATTTTACTTATAACTTTTTAACAGAGTACACTGACACCAATTATTATTTATCTTTTGAAAAGATCCTGTAAAGTATACTCATTAAATTATCACATAAATATTAGAGCTACACAATGCGAATATTGCTCATACGCAGTGATGGCCCTACTTTTGATAAATAAAATGTTTGTAAGGATTTAAAAAGAGTGCAATAGAAAAAATCCTTACCTCACCTCCTTGGCATATATTGCATCATTGTATAATTGTACAAATGGTCCCTGGATTCCCCTGCCTCTACTTGGGATGTGCCCCTGACTTGGCGCCTTAAGTGACAAGTTCAAGTGGCACAAGTTCAAGACTCTGACATTTTGGATGCCCTGCCGTGTCCAGCGGATCACTTTCGCTTTTTGTTTCGGTGGCATTTTACTTTTAATCAAAGCTCTTGGACCTGCGGCGCTGATCTTAAATTGGATCTATTAAGTCACTTGAGATAAGTCAGAGCCCCTCGAGACTTAAGTGCCGAGCGGAGAGGCCACTCAACGCTAAAATTGTCACGTTGACGTTGAGTTATCAGGAAAAGAGCTCTGGTCTCTCTCTCAGGTGATCTCCATAAAATCTGGGCCAAACAATGGGATAACATTTCATATCTCAAGAGGGAGATTACTTAATACCCTGTAATACCAACCATTAAGAGATCATTGGGGGAATCCTTTATTATGTTGGCTCTGTTTGAATAAGTAGAATTGGTAAACAAGTTTCAATGTGACTGTTTAATGAGTCACTTGTGAAGGCTTCTTAAATTCTTCGTAAATTATATTTGTCGAAGTATACGATTATTTCTCTATAGGACTTCCTGATGTCGTGTTATTCTTTATTTAAGAAAACCGAAACCATTCCAACCATTCTTTTGTTACCGATTTCTATTTAGTAGCTTACATCGCATACTTCTTAAATTCCCTATAAAAGTATAATTAATACAAATTCCAAATACCAAATCTCTCATAATCGGAAACTAGAGGCATTCAACCAATTTCCTTGTTTTAATTTACGCTTATTCATGTTTAAGATCAAAGATTAAAATATTGAAAGAGCGCTTTCAAGTGTCGAGGCTTATCAGGCCATTGTTAAATAAACCTGCCTTAATACAAGCACAAGTCCCTTTTGAAATCTGGGTTAGTACTGGAAAAAGTCGGATTGAATGGGCAAGTGTGCGATAAGTGATCTGTAGTAGACAGCTGCTGGGTCTATAAACGGAAAACTATACACCAATTAGCAGCTTCCTAGGATTATATTTTTGCCCGATTATTTTATGCCTGTAAAGGCAGTGTAGAGATTAATGGATGGGATTAGAACCACACGAAGCTAAGTCTGATAAGCCGGCCTGATAAACACTCATAAGGTTTCTTTGCAATTCCCCCATTTCAGACAAGTGGACAAATGGCAACCTCGGAGTGGATGTGACAGTGGATGCATATTATGCAACTGCAGCCAGACAAAGAAGCTATAGACAGAGATTGGCTAGAGAAGAAGAGTGCCGGAGAGGGGTGCCCAGATAGACAAGTAATTATCAGTGCCAGATTATTATCACCGAAGCGGCGATGCAGCGACGGTGACGGTTCCGGAGGAGAGGACCAGTAAGTGCGCTCTCTCCGACTACGGAATGCATTGCGCTACCTGACTACGGGTATTCCAAAACCAGCCGAGCAACCAGCAGGAGCGGTCCCCGCCAGAAAATCAGCCGCTTATCCAGACAGGCGCAATATCCGAAGCGCCAATTAGGAGGCAATTAAACAGATTAGCCCTGAGCTCCGAGTTCGGATAGACCCGGGTCCCCTAGCTTATAGCCAAACCAAAAATAATTAAAAATGTTGGCCACGGACAAGGGCACCCAGGCCAGCCCCACGCCGATCATCGTGAGCACCAGCGCCAGGTCGCAGAAATCTCATTGCCATGGTCCGGCGGGTGCGGACCAGCAGCTCCTGCAGCATCCAGCCCACCACCATCCGCACTTGCACACCGCCTCCCATTCCAGCCACCTGCCCCATCATCATCCACACGGACATGGTACTGCCTGCGAGAAGCGCCTGGAGGCGGAGACGCCCCGGAAGAACCTCCACGAACTGCTGCTCGAGTTCCTGGACATTATGCTCTCCTGTCTGGTGGTGGCGCCCTGTGTGATCGCCTACTGGCGTGGCACTTGGGAGCTGATGGGCGTGTATCTCTTTCCCAAGAGCCTGCCCCTCTCCGCGATGGCTAGTTTCCTCATCGGCGGACTCGGCCACTTTATCTTTACCGTAACACAGAATTTCTTCAAGGACTACATCCATCCGGACAGGCGGCGACTCACCTACTACATAGTCTCGCGGCTCTATACGGCCGTATTCGGTATAGTCTGCGTGAACATGTGGCGTGGGGCGTGGCTGCTCTGCGACTGGCTAACCAGTGTGGACTCTCTGATTATCGTTTCTGTGGTAACGACGATAGCCCTCATCTTCCTGTTGGCCACGCGCACGCTAAGGAACCTGGGAGCTGCCCCATACACGGTGACCATGGACCACAAGACCGACTATTTTGAGGTGGACACCATGTTCAAAATACCCGTAAGTAAAACTTATTTTAAAATATTAAGGATCTACTTCGAGAAAGAAAATAATTTAAAACTAGAAGGAAAAACAAGAAAGGAAAGCTAATTTCGGGCGGAGCCGAAGTTGATATACCCTTGCAGTTAAAAGCGGATATAAATCGCAAACATCGGATAAAGGTTGCCGGTCCTTATGAGAATATCATCATAAAACCAATTAATTACAATAAAATATATATATAATTACAAATAAATATATATAAAAAGTCCCAAGCTTCTATCTTCAAAAATATCAAAGTTGGTATTTCTACCAAAAACCATTTCCGATCATTCAGTTATATGTCAGCTATAAGATATAGTCAACCGATCATTATGAAATTTGGTAGATCGGATTAACTGACCAAAAATAGAATGTGTACCAAGTGCCAGCTTTCTATCATCAAAAACACGAAAGTCCGATCGTTCAGTTATATGGCAGCTATAGGATATAGTCGGCCGATCCTTATGAAATTTGGCATGTCGTATTATTTTGCCAAAAATAGCAAAATGTCAAATTTGAACTCTCTAACTTTAAAAACACTAAAGGTATACCATTTCCGATCAATCAGTTATATGGCAGCTATAGGATATAGTCGGCCGTTCCGACTTATAAACTGCGTGCAAAGGAAAGAAGGGTGTGCGCAAAGTTTCAAGACGATAGCTTTAAAGCTGAGAGACTAGTTTGCCTAGAAACAGACAGATGGACAGACGGACATGCTCATATAAACTCAGGAGGTGATCCTGATCAAGAATAAATATACTTTATAGGGTCGGAGATGTCTCCTTCACTGCGTTGCACACTTTTGGACAAAATTATAATACCCTCTGCAAGGGTATAATTAATGTATATTAATAAGGACCTAATATATCGAAAATATTGGATATATGTTATAAATTTCCAGGTTTTTGATTGAAGAACTACGAGTATTAGTTTCCGGATCATTGCATCATTGAAATATTGCATTTATACATAATGAAATTTTGTTTGTAAAAAAATATTCATAAAATTATTCTTTTAGTTTACAAAAGTTTTTAGAATATAAAAAGTTTTCAGCTACTACATCTTCTGCATTTTTAAATAAACCTTGTAGGGTTTTCATCAACCTGGCCTGTATGTTCTGGACACCCTCTTTTCGGTCTTTGTCATTGGAAGTCTAGTGGTCATTGCCTGGCGCGGAGTCTGGGGCATCTTTGATCTGCTCCTGTTTCCCAGAGACCGAGCAAAGTCTGCCTGGGGTTCACTGGTGAGTGCTCTTGAAAACCCTATTTCACGAATTTGTTTTGTAAATTCCATCACTGGACAGATGATTGGTTACCTGACGGTATTCGTGACCTTCCTCATCCACCCCCTGATGCGTTATGTATGCCGGCGGATAAGCGGCATCCTCAAACTAATTATTTGCGACATTTACTATTTAATGACCTTCTTTGGCGCCGTGAATGCCTGGCGAGGCATATGGAACTTGTTGGATGTGTACCTGTACCCAGGTAGAGACCAATTTTAATTGAGTTTAACATTTTTATTCAATATTTGTTTGACTTTTCTCAGACGACAGGCTTATGAGTTTCTGGTTAACGCACATCATTCCTTTCCTGCTTCTGGCCGCCATCAAGTGCTCCAACTCCATCCTGGTACGGGGCGTATTCATCGATGGCGAGGGAGTTGGCGCCGATAGCGTCGATATACCCATCAACTATGTGAGGCTGCACTTCCTCCGCGAGCGGCAAAAGAAAAACGCCCACCAACTATCCCCCACGAAGCCATCGCCGCCGCACTATTATTTGAAGCCGGAGCACGCCTCGCTCGGCTTGGCTACGGAAAAGGACAAGGAGGCCCACAGCAGCCTCATCGAGAAGCCCCACCCACCCGTACAGATGGTCTAAGAGGTCTAAGATCCGGGCTCTTTGTTAAACTCGTGTTTATGCCTAGTTGTTAAAATAGATTTAATCGCCTAAGCTTAATCTTACCGAGCTTACTTAAGAGTCAGATATTTAGTGGTAACCGCTAGTTGTAGTCCCACATCCTGATCCCGATGAAACCACTTCCTAGACCTGTACAGAAATCCAAGAACGACGTCTCTAGACAGTAAGCATAATTGCATTTTAAACAGCAGGTTGACGAACCAAATTTTGGCCTGGTGACGAAAGCACCCCTACCTACTCAACTAATTAAGTGATAACGATGCGACTACAAGTTTTAATATTGTACATTGGTAATTTCATATAAAAATAGCCAGAATGAAATAAATAAATGTTTGTAAATACTATAAAACCAATCTTAAATGTGTATACTTTTTCAAGAAACTACTGAGATCATTTAGGTAGACTTTGTTCTATTTAAATCACAATTTCCGCTTTGTTTATCTTACTCTAAGGACAAATACCCAGCCAAGGATATCATTGAGAATTTAGATTTCCCTTTCATCGATCTGAAATAACATAATAAGCTGTCGTCTAGCCGTATAATAGTCTCAGGGTCACAACGATGCGCCTGCTCTGAACTTGTCATTCCTGGCATCGCCAAATGGCCAAATATTTAAGAATTTGTAGAAAGCGAAAACTAAGACCCAGCACCAAAGACAATGAACTGTTTTGGGTCAATACAGTCTGCTGAGGCGCACAATATATACAATTTGCTACTAAATTGAGCAATGTGCAACTACAGATCTGATAAATACCTTAAACGAGCCATTTGCATTTGATAAATATATACAAACATATATATAAGAAGGTATATCAAGATAATGACCACCTGTAGGGAATGTTTAAGAACTGACAGTGCACTTGGGGTGTTCATATCTGAGGACTTTGTATGAAGAAGGATTTAAAGAGACCTTATAAAGGTATACCTTTACATAATAAGTGTAAGGTTATTAAAAGGTTTTAAATCGATTTTTAAATTCTTTAAAATTGTTAGTAAGAATTCTGAAATTTTTCCATCATATTTCCAACCATAATTTATCATCCTACAATAAATTTTTGTAAAGAAATCTAGATTCTAGAACCTTATTGGAATTTCAAATTAGAACTATCCTTATTTTCAGATTTTATTTCCTAATATTAATCTAATTTTTGTATCTCGGGTAGGGTACCCAAAAAATGTGTACAAGATCACATCGAAAGAATCGTGTCTTATTCGAATTTTCTTTACTTAAAAATAACAACAACATAAGAACCTATAGACCAACAACCAACAAAAAGAGGCAGAATGCAGTGGGTAGCTAAAATAAATACGCAAATACAAATCGAAAACGCAAAATAGAAAGCAATTGATATGCTAGCAAAGCGCCAATTTGTAGGAACTTGGCATTTTAGTTTGAAATTTGCGACGGTTTGCTGAAAACCAAATTCGCGATCGCAGCGAATACGATTTTCTATTCAAATAATTTTGAAATAATCAATAAACGTTCATACTCCAGTTGCTGAAGAGCTATTTAAATTTTCTTGATCTGCTTTTAAGCCATAAAAGTGCAAATCCAAATCGATCTAAAAAATCGAAAAGTATTTTTGTGAAATTTACATAACCATCGTGCACATTTGGTGAAGTTCAAGCGATCGATATGGGTATTCCAGACATCCGACAGCTTGTGACGCTGGACTTTGAGGTCTACGGGCATGTTCAAGGTGCGGTTCTTTGGATAACTGATCATGGATCCGGGACCGACGGCCCAATTTCAGGGTTTCCCGATGCAAAGATCTAAAAATAAAACCACAGTAGCTAGTTACTTGCGGGGCCTCCGCCTGTCCTTGGCTTCCTTTCACGCCTCATTCCACTTTCGCTAGACTATACCGAATAATACGATATATCTTTAACCAACCGGCAGGCCTGAATCTCACGAAAGATACCCGCGACCGGTGCACCAAGGCAGGAATCACGGGCTGGGTGAAAAACAGCAAGGCGGGCACCATTGTGGGCAAGATGCAGGGTCCCAAGGAGGAGGTCGAAAAGATGTGGGTATTTCACAGTACCCAACACGAATTATAATAAGCTATTTTCCAAACAGGGTGACCTGGCTGTCCAGCGAGGGATCTCCTGGCTGCCAAATTGATCGTTGCGAGTTGCGAAACCAGGGAAACCTCAGCCGACTGGACTACAAGGACTTTGCCATTAGATTTTAGATGTGTTTTCATCATTTTGTCGCTTTATGATGTGACGACTGATGTAGTTTTGTGTTTGTTTTGTGCACTACTTCTATAAGTTTGTAAATACAAGTAAAATAAAGATCTTAATAATATAAAGAGATTTGTTTTCATTACCCAAAATGAAATCTATTCGATAGATTTTGAATCTATTTCTATTATATCTACAAATCTTTTTGAACCTTTTTAAATTATGTTTTTAATACTTCTCGAATAGACCCTCAAAACATCAATTATGGATAAAAGCTTAACTGTCACATCTAATCACATGAACTTATACCAATCGGTCAAAAAAGTCTCAAAAATTAAAGTCACAAAAAAATATTAAATTTAAAAAGTAAAACCACAAAAAAATGAACATCAACCGGAAGTAAAACATTCCAAAGATCATACGTAGACTCAAATCTATTTACTTTTCAATACAGAAGCGTAACACTTTGATATCGCAACATCTTTAGACTTAGACTACTGGGGTTTTGTGGGTGCCTAGCAGGACTGGAAACGGCCGGCGGCCTTCATCCGCTCGAACGACTTGTTGGCGTCGTATTTCCTGCAAAGATTGAAGATGCTTAAGTAAAGGAATCAAGATGAATATTGACATGTTTAAATTACTGGTAGAACTCGGCGTAGGCGGCCTTCTTGGGATCGTTGACCAGCAGCTTGAAGGCAATGGTCACAATTGCGGACAGACCGAGAGCCGCAGCGAGGTTGCGCTTGATGGTGGCATTGTGGAGGCCACGGAGCACAGGGCCGGCGCTGCTGGAGGTTGCTGGAGTGTTGGCCATGTCGTTTCTGCAAAAAAATAAAGCATTTGTATTGTATTGGTCATCAGTTACGTAAGGTTCTTAAGGAAGGTGTAACAAAGCAACGAAAGAAATGTGAAAAAATGTTGACACTTGTTTGTTAGATAAAGGCAGTAAAAAATCTGGTCAATGTACATTTATTGGTCCAAAAACTCAAATATAGATAGGGTTTTAAGGTAATTTCGGTTATGTACTCACATTGCAGAAAAATAGTCAATTGCCAGGGATGGAACTTCAATCACAATCGATACTCAAGGGATGGAATGTTATGGTCTGAAAACAGTGCTGTATAATTTTCTTGGCATTAATATTTTAATCCTTAATTACCTTATTGAACTGACTTTAGCTAATTTACATCTTTTGAATAAATTATTTAAGATGCAAAAAAAAACAAATTAATAACACAAAAAAATTAATGTTTATTTTTTCGATATTTTTGTCGGTGTTTGAAGTTGTTCATGTATTTCCTTACAAAAACTTTGCAGTTATAGATTTATTTTAAATTAAAAATTGAAATTCCTTTTTTTAAATTACGTAACAATATGTATTCAGCTGAAACATTTAACTACCACAGACGGAACCGTTCGTTAGCGATAGCCAACTATCGTTTTGCACATCTCTAAAAACACACAAGTTGGGCAAATTTAGTGCGTTCCATCGGCAGCAAACCGATTGGCATCTCTGGCTGGAAAATAAAAATGGCGACAACTGGCTACCCCGAAAATCGGTTGTTATTGTTCGTGGAATTTCTATAATTACGAGGATTTTTGTACAAAATAAGCAAGAAAAACATAGCGCCCCAGCTTTAGCAATAGGCTAAAAAGCAACCACGAACCTTTGACAACGTCCGTGTGCGATTACCCAGAAGCCAAACGCTCGCGATTCGTGTTAAATTACCATCCGAATGTGCTGCCCAGAAACGAGAAAAAAAATTCGGGCGCCTCTGAAAAGCAATATATTATCGTAGCGCCTCGAGTGAAATGGAAAACAATAAGGGCACAAAAGGCCGAAAAGAACTGTGAACGATAATCTGTTAGCGGGAACGGATGAATTTGGCCAGGATTGGGGCTAGAAAAGTGACGCAGGAGGAAAATCCGTATCCCCGTATCCGAATCGGAATCGCTAGCGAGCCCTGCCCGCGCCCCGCACGTTGCCAATGTGTGTGTGCGTGTGTGTGTTTGTGAACGCGAGTGTGTGTGTTAGTGAGGCCTACTACTAAAAAAAAAAAAAGAAGAAAAAAAGTAGCAGCGGTGGAAAATGCCCAAAAACAATGTCGCAGAGGTTAAATTGAGCGACGAAAACTAGTGAGTGAGCCCAACAACAACAACAACAACAACCACAACCACGAATGGATACAATCGTCCCAAAACAATACCCGGAACAAAGTGCAAATCCATAACAAATAATACAAAATACAAGTTGAATGTAATGCCAATATGCAATTGTTTAAACGCAAAGGACGCCACCTGAAGTATCATCTGCATCGCGTTCGAAAGTCTCCCGTTCTAGATGCGAAAATTGAGAAGCGTTCTACCAATTAAACCTACGACGCGTGCGATTGTCGTGTGATGATATGCCACTTAAACAGGTGAGTGTTGTGTTTCGGGGAGCACCGCTTTGCATTTCTTGCAGTTTCCTTCTTTTTTTTTTGCCGAACAGCTGATCTGCGATTATTGCACTTGTCCGCAAGGGTTTGGGGGTGGGGTGATGTTACTCTAGGAGGGGGAAGGGTCACTTGCGTCACCCACGCAATACCTTCCACCAAACCTAATGCCACAAATGAGCCAGCAGTTCTTGCACTTTGGGCTAACCCAAATCCACCTCATGCGTCTTTTATTTCTTCCCATTTTTGTGAGGCGCCCCCTTTAAGCCCCCCCGCCTTCAGCGGGCAAGTATTTTGGTTACCTTTTCCCTCTGCCACTAACACCAGCACACACTCTCGTACACACACACACACGCACACCCTTCCAAGAGAAAATGGCGACGACTTCGATATTGGTATCGATAACAGAGGAGACGACGGAAGAAAACGCACGCACGCATGGGAAAATGCAACCTGTGGCCCCCCAACCCTCCGCTTTTACATGCCCCGCGTGGAAAATTGAGCCAACTGCAGGCGGTTACTTATTTTATGCCGCCTTTCGTTTTAAATGCCCACTAGTGGGCCCTGTTTTTGAACAAATTGTTGTTGGAATTTCCAATGAGAGTCCTCTATAGCCATCTCGTTCTGGCGTGCAGCAGAGCCAAAAAAAACAGTAGCATAAAAAAAGGAAACTCACAAGCTATAGGTCTATTTATTTAAATATCAGGAAATAAAAAAGTTGGCTTAAATTGTGTTCCAAACGGCAATTATTTAAATGTTTGGCCGTACAATGTGACTTCCAGTGGTTTGTTGCTGTGCCAGTGCATGTATGTGTGTGTTAGTGTTGCGTGCAGCAGCACCAGCCGATAGGTGTTGCCTATCGATGGTTGCTCGGGGCGGCCACCTCTAGCAATTTCCCTGCTCCAACTCTTCCTCTTACCGCAGTTCCTTTAATTAAATGTTTTAATGTTGCGAAATGAACTTGCAGCAGCTTGAACCGTCACTGGTGCGGATATTGGTGTCGCTCCCCTGGGATGCAGCTCAACGGCTGCGCCAATTGGCCGCCGAGGGAAATCCCGAACTGCGCGCCCTCAACATTCAGTCCGTGCAGTTCGAGGGCGATTCTGTGATAACTTTGAAAGTTGGAGGACAGGATATTAAGATAATCAAGGGTAAGTGATCCTAAACTAAACTAAAAACCCCGAAAGAAAACTATTTTTATGTTCATCCGCTTTTTAGCAGAGAATGTAAGCGAGACACTTGAGGCGGCTGGCTCGTCTTCCGGCAACAACAAGAGCCTGGTGGCTCTGTCCCCGAGTTTTGATGGCCCCAGTACCAGCAAAGCTGCCTCCGCCTACCTGCAACAACAACAGCAGCAGCAGATGCAACAGCGGACTGTGCAGCTGCCCCAAAATGTTTCCAATGATGCAATCTCAGTCCAGCAAAGGAGAGCGGGCCAGCAGAAGATGCCGTCCCAGCAGACACCGCCAGTGTTCAAATCGCCCAACACAGTGTGTCCCATGGAAGGCAAAGTGCCCGTCCTGCTGCCGTCGCCATCGGGAACACGGGATTTCCCATTCGAGAGCATGCGACAGGCGCGCGTCCTGCAGCAGGGCAGGGAAACTGGTGTGGCAGGTGCCGGTGTCTTGGGACCGCCACTACCGCCGCCCAACGTGACGCTGAAGGTGCTGAAGAACCCGCCGCCCCAACAGCAGCAGCCGTCGCAGAATGGCGAGCTGACACCGACAGGCAGCAAATCTCAGTTCATCCAGCCACCACCGCCGCCATATCCGGGATTGGGAGCTACCACTGCCAACTCTGGCAGCAGCTCGCCCATAGCCATAGCTAAGCCTGCGATTGTGCCCGCCTCCAGTCCGCTGCAGACCCATCCTCCGCCTCCTCCGCATCCTCATCAGCATTCACAACTCCCCCACCAGCAGCCGCTGCCTGCGGCAACGTCGACGGGCAGCAACAACATTGCCATATCGTCGCCGCTGTTAGTTAACCTGCTGCAGAACGACGGCAATGCCATGTCGAACTCGAATCCGAACCAGCTCAAGTCGCCGCAGCAACAGCAGCAGCAGCAGATTGGCATGAGTCCCAGCGGAGCGCAGATGATGAACTCTCCGATGCGCTCGTCGGGTCCGGCGACGCCAAACGACTTCCTAATGAGCGATGTTCTCAGTCCGGTGGTGCCTTCCTCTCCAACAACTCCACAGACGCCGCAGGTGCCATGCCCGCCAAACGTGGTGATGCGGAGTCTGCAGCAGCAGCAACAGGCAATGCTCAGTCCCAGCGGCAATAGCAATCATTTGTATACTCAACAGCAGCAGCAGCAGGTCCAACAACAACAACAGCAGCAGCAAATACGCTTTCAACAGCAACAACAACAACAACAGCAGCAAATGTCTCCGCAGGCCGTGGCTATCCGGCAACAAATGCAACGCCAACAACAGCAGCTGCGGTTTATGCAACCGCAACAACAGCAGGCATTGCCAGGGCAATCACAACAGCAGCCACAGTTTCCCACTGCGCCTGGTAAGTACTTGCCTTTCAAAGAGACGAGAATGAATATTAATTTTTGGAAAATTATCCCAACAGATTGCTTCAACAACATGGGTATGAACTCCATGCAGCAACAGCAGCAGCTGAGACAGCAGGCGCAACTGCGACCCGGTGCTCTGCCTCTGGCTCCTCCGCCACCTCATCCGCAGCAGCAGCAACAACAGCGGATGATGACGCTGCCCATGCCACAAGCGTCGCCGCAACAGCAGCAACAGTTCATGAGCGGGGCCTCGCCCCTGGGACCTGTACTATCGCCTGCCTCCAGTCACCACTCGATGCATAGCCCGCTGATGGCGCCGCAGCAGCAGCCCCAGCCGCAACAACAGCCTACGCCCGGATCCTCTGTTCCCAGCGAGCTGGGACACCATGTACCTGCAGCGCCGCCACCGGACTACAACCAGGCGGCAGCCAACTCTCGCTGGCCGCTGGCCGGGATCAATAAGCCGATGGACTCGGCCACCAAGAGTAGTTTCCAGGAGTTCACCAGGTACCAGATGCAGTACAATCTCCAGCAGCAGCAGCAACAAGTTAATATGCCGGGGCAGCAGCAACCACAACAGCAGCAACAACCACAGCAGCAGCAGCAGCCAACTCAACAGTTGCCGACTCCTCAACAGCCTCAGCAGCAGCAGCAGCCGACGACACAGCAGCAACAGCAGGCTCAGGATTCGCTGATGTCCCTGTCTGTGCTGGATGCCCTGACGACGAACGACTTGGACGCCTTGCTGCCAACTCTTAACTGTGATCTGGACTCGACGTTAAGTCTGGAGGACAAGAACGATCTCGAATCGCTTTTGCAGGATGCCAAGGATCTAGACTTGGATTTGATAGACGATAACCTGTCGGCGGTGGGGATGGATGTCGGCGATGCGCTCAGCACGTTGCAAGAAGCTCCGTTAGATCCCCAGCATCAACAGCAGCAGCAGCAGGGTGGAGTGATGCAGCAGCCACAAATGATGCAAATGCCCTACCAGCAGCAGCAGCAGCCTCCACAACTGCAACAGCAGATGATCATGCAACAGCAGCAACGGCAACAGCAGCTGCCGCAAATGCAACAGAGGCAGCAACAGCAGCAGGTTCAGCGGCAAATGCAGCTACAGCAGCAACAACAACAGCTCCAAATGGTGCAGCGACAGCAGCAGCAGCAGTTGCAGGTGCAGGTGCAGCATGCCCAGCCGCAACAGAGGCCGCCACAGAAACAGTTCATAATCAATCCGCACACTGGCGACATGGAACCAATGGCCAGTGATGACAGCGACACGGAGGCGGAACAGGAAACTGCCCAGCTGCAGTTCCGCTCCAGCAGTAACAACATATCCGGTGGGCTGAGCAGCTTTAGCTTCAATCCCGCCAACGACATGATGCTGCCCACCAATCTGTTTTCCGAAGAGGACTCCAACTCCGCGCAACAACTGCCAATGGGAATCAGCAGTGATCCGGAGCGGTCCCGTGACTCGATAGCCTCCAACAAATCGGCCACGAGTCGGGCAAGGAAAACCCCAGTGCTGAAGGCAAATCACAGCAACCTGATGGGCGGGGAGAACTCGCCGCGATCCAGCAACAGTTCCCCGCTTATTGGACTGAACTCGCCCCAGTCGGTGACGGCAACCATTGGAGGGGCGGCCAGTAAGAAGGCGAAGCCGAATCTGCTGCGCGAGAAGCTGCAGCAAGGTGTTAAGGAGCGCAAGGCGAAGGATGCCACTGCCACCCCGAAGCCGAAACGAGAACGGGCGAAGGGCAACGCCAAGACGAAGGCGGCCGAGGAGAAGCTGAAGCTGCGCGTGAAGCTGGACAAGGTTGACACCGAAGGGCCGCTGCTCATCAACCAGCAGCCGCATCAACAGCCACAGCAGCAGCAGCAACAGGCTTTGGTGAGCAACAACCACTTGCAACAGCAGCTGCCCATGCAGACGCAACTGTTGACGTTGCCAACACAGCAGCATCCCCAGCAGCAGCAGCAACAGATGCAACAGACGCCGATGCAGCAACAGCCTCAGCAACAACCACCTCTATTGCAGCAGCAGCAACAGACTATCCAGCAGCAACTGCAACACACAGTTGGTGGCAACTTTCAGCCACAACAGCAACAGCAGCAGCAGCCTGTACCGGGCCTCAACGAACCGCGTGTGCCTCCCCTGCAGATCCGACTGCGTGGCAAGAACCATGTAGTTGTGAAGAACACTCGCAAGGATCGCAAGAAGGGCCAGAACCAGGAGGCAGCTGGTGATGAGCGGCAGTTGAAGCGCAGCTACAGCGACCAGCCGCAGCAGCAGCTACTGTTGGAGTCCATAGCGGATAACAAGCAAACCAAGCTGACGCCTCCGGCCCACATCAATGGGTTGCCCCTGCTGATACAGAAGACCACGACACCCACAGCCTTGCCGCAGCAACTGCAAACTGGAGGACCGGCAAACACCAAAACCAGGACCATTGTGGCGGGCAAGAACGGGCTGACAATCAGTGCCATCGTGGAGGCGCACAAGGCGCAGGCACAGGCCCAGTCGCTGAGTGATTCCCAGATGATTGTGGGCTCCTCCAACACGGGCACCACGCCGACGCCCGCCACCTTGCAGCAACAGCAGCAGCAGCAGCTGAGCAAGATCGCCACCTCCCTGCCCAGCAGCATCACCCTGAGTGCCATCAACAGCAACAACAACAACAATTCGAATAGCGGCAACAACAACCGGCTGCTGACGATGAAGAATCCGATCAAGACAGCGGCGACGATCACGCCCATCGTGGGTGGCAAGCCGATGACAAAAAACCATAAGCCGCCGCCATACATCACAGCCGTGCAACAGCTGCAGCTGCAGAAGCAACAACAGCAGCAACAGCAACAGCAGCACCAGCAGCAGCAACAACAGCAGCAGCAACAGCAGCGACAACTGGCGGCGGCCGTAACCATGTTGCCCAGTGCGACGACTCTGAAGCGAGTTGAGATCACAAAGGTTACTGCAGAGCAGGCTCCCATCTTGACTTCATCCCCGGCAGCAGCAGCAGCAGCAGCAGCGGCAGCGGCAACGGTGGCAGCTGCAACAGCAACACTAACCACATCGTCGTCGACGACCACAACGCAAACAACTCAGCTGATCTGTGATAGAAAGTTGCCAGTCTCCATCAACAATGTGGTGGTGGCCACCGTGAATCCCGCCTCCGTTTCCGTCTCCGCCCCGATCTCCACATCCATCTCCTCCTCCACCGCATCCTCGGTTGCGTCCGTAACGTTGGCTTCAGCATCAGTCTCAGTTTCGTCGACGTCCAGCACCTCTACCTCATCCCCGGCAGCCTTGCCCAGCACGCTGCGGAACTCGCCCGCGAGCAATGGCAGCGGCACGCCAGGCCATGGGAACAACGGCGGTGGCGAGGATAGCGGAATCGAGTCCATGGATGCCCTCTCCGAGAAGAGCCCCCACCAGCTCTCCTCCAGCAGTCCCATCCAGGTTACCAAGGTGGTGCAGCAACAGCCCCAACCGCAGGTGACTACCCTGAGTGGCACAACAGTGACGGCGGTGACAACGCCAGTGACTGCGCCCAGCTCTACGACGGTGACAGTGACTGGAACTACTGGGTCGGCGGCCACGGCAGGCAGTTCCTTGCAGCAGCAGCAGAAGCAGCAGGCGGACGACGAAATCGAGAAGGCGCTGGCCAAGATGGAGGGGGGACTGAACGAGGACTTCGAGGAGATTGCCTCCAGTGCGGGGACGGGGGGCTTTCTGAACAACATGGAGAACTCCCTGCCGACAACAACTGTGGCACCAGCAACCACCACGAACACAAGCACCGTCAAGCTGAACGGCGAACACCATATACTCGAACATGATGATCTCATCAAGAAACTCACAGAAAGCAAGCAGCCGGGCCGGATGGAGGTGCGTGTTAAAGTGGAAGAGATTCCGCCGCTGCTGAGCATCAAGAAGGAGCCGGCCAACCTGAAACCAGTGGTGAAGATGGAAGTCAAAGTGGAGCAGAAGGCAGGGCCCAAAGCCGAGGTCAAGCAGGAGGAGAAGGCGCCGTCGGAGAAGCTTCATCCCGAGACGAATGCCGTGTCCTTGCAGCCCATTTCGATTGAGATACCCGCCCAGGTGGACGGAGAGTCGCCGCGGATTAGGACGCGGGCCAGCAGTCGCCTGGAGAGTCCCCTGGACGCGGCCAAAGCCAGTCCAGAAGCCACTGCTACTGCAGCCGCCACGCCTGGCCTCGCCAAGAGCCTGTCCCGTGCCTCGTCCAACGCCAGTCCGAGAACCGTAGTCACACCCATTCCCAACCACAATAACAACAACAAACGACGGCGACCGGAGTCCGAGTCCGAGCCGGAAGCGGCCGAGAGCAAGCGTCAGAGGGTGAGCAGTGGAAACGGAACTGCCAGCAACAACTCGGTAGCGACCGCCAACAGCACCAGCTCCAATCCTGCTGAGGCTGGGGCGGAGACCAATGCCGGTGGCGGAACTGTGCTGAACAAGAAGATAGAGATTGAGTCCTCGGATTCGGATGAGCCGCTGATCGAGGTGGCTGGCAAGGTGCGGAACTCCAAGCAGGCGCAGGTGGAGGTGAACGATGCCGCAGCCACGGCGGCCACCCCTGGGTCAGTTGTGGAAAAGCATGTGACGCGTCGGAATGCCCAGCAGCAGCAACAGAACAGTAAGTTTGGTTGTTTATGGCCATTTTTTTGGAAGACACTTATCCATATTTCCAAATCCTCCCACAGAAACGAACAATAATGCTGCAGGTGCCACTCCAGCACTCGGAAATCCGCGAACAGTCAAGGCCCAAGTGGCAACTGGAAACGCCTCGGCCGCCAGCAGCAACCACAGCAGCAATGCCAACAGTCCCAGTGTGCCGAATGCTTCAGTTGCCGCTACGACTCCGGGAGGAGCTGTGGTTACCACAGCCCAAAGCAACAGTGGCAGCGTGCCCAACGTGGTGCATGCGACTCGTGGAGCCACCGCCGCGGCAGCCAGTACCACCAACTCGAACCACAATGCCAGCAACGCCACCTCACCGTCGGACGAGAAAATCGGGACCCGGCGAAGTGTGCGAGCCAGTGCGGCGGCTAACAAGATCATTTATGCCCGGAGCAATGCGGCAGCGGCCGCACATGCGGCAGAGTCGAAGGGAACGCCGGGCAAGGCTGGAGCTGCCGGTGGAGCCAACAGTGTGAGCGCCGGTATTGTGGCTGAGAGTGTGGCCGAGGCGAGGCGGAAAACCCGCAGTGCAGGTGAGAATCTTTGGAGAATTTCCACAATCATGTAAACCTACTTCTATATGTCTCTCTCCTTAGTCATTGGCGAGTCCATGTTGACCGAGGGTCGCCGGAGAAGAACGTCGCGTGACTACAAGTGACCAGAGTTTTGCGCCTTGGCTAAAGGCTTGAACAATCCTAGCGATGCCCCCGAGGACGATCTGCTGGAGCTGTTCGAGGACTTTGAGCAGCACCAGCAGCCGCATCAGCAGCAACAGCATCAGCTGGAGATCAGCAGCAGCATCAGCGGCTTTCCTTTAGCTTTGGCCGAGGCGCAGGATGAAGAGGACGGTGACGAGGGAACGATCGGGTATGAGGATTTTTCGCGCGCAGCTGGTGGCTACATGGAGGAAGCCGACCACCTGTTATCCTATCACAGCAGCAGTAGTGCCGCCGATGTGGAGGTGGATGTGGAACTGCCGGAGCTGTCCAATGCTACGGCGCTGGACTGCGGCAACTTTGTCGACTATGATGAGTTCAACCTGTGTCTGAACAACATCCTCAGCGAGGAGGACGACGAGACCGGCGGCACTAGCGGTGGCATTGCGACCAAAGACCATCAAGCCTGGCGGGAGACCGACGAGGTACTCAACATCGTACAGCTGAACACCGACCTGGGTCTAAGTTTTCAGGATGAGCAGCGCTCCGGCAGCAGCAGTTCCCCGCAACTGGTGTAGGGAGAACCGATCCAGTTGTATATAGAACTGATACCGAACGCTTTCGATGTAGTTTGTAGTTGACGATTTTGTACAGTTAGTGATAGCCACAAGTTGCAATAATGTTGCGTCTCGAAGCGAGCAACATCACACACCCAGACACACACAATCACACCCACACAAGGGCTGCAAGCGCCTGAACACTATGCTTTCCGTATTGGCTCCTCTGTTTCCGAGCATTCTACTACCTACTGCTACCACTCTCCGAGATCCACCCATTGGAATGATTTGCTAGTCAAGTGAAACAGGCAATTAAATGTATAGCTCAGAAGATAAAATTTGAACAAATTAGTTGAGTACGTACCATATTCGAGAAGCTCCCATTACCACTATACACCACTATCATAATGTAACACTAGGCGAAGTAGTTGGCTGAGTAGCATCATCCGACCTCCAGGCCCACTCTCTCTCTCACCCAACCAGCATAGTTTAATTTGAAAAAAAAAAATCTGATTTCCATGAACCGCTCTGTAAATATTTTGATTCTAATAGTTGCTACATGAACACATTTCTAGCTTTAGGTTGTCTTAGTTAAGCGCGTTGCGACAAGTCGAAAGTCTACATATATATATTATATAGAAGGCGATCCATCGGAGGCGATGGATCGGATCAGATCAGATCAGAGCAGGCCGCACGTTTACTTTAGGTTTTATATATCTTTTTTGTAACATTTAACATATGAGAATACAGTACAGTACATACAGATATAGCCTATTAGTTTCTGTAAGCTTGCGTTGTTTCGAAAATTTGTTTTTTAGTTTTAAATGCTCTAGCCTAAGGACAGTAATCTTAACGCGAATTCTTTAACAACAATATATGCACATGGAAACCTATGCAATAAGTTAGTCAAGAAATGTAAAAAAAAAGCCAAGCACCAGAAAATGAAATCGAAAAAAAAAAAACAAAAAATAATGAGGAGAAAATGTGGAAAATACTGAGAATCAGTCGCCTAGTACTTGTCGTTTTGCAAAGTGAAAGATCATATATAAAGATATATATATATATTATATATATACAATATACAGAAACGAACCGTATATAATGTTATATATTTTGCATACACAAAACACACAAGAAAAGGGATACACAAATAAAACAAAACAAAAAAAAGAAGTTGTATTGTATATAAGGCAGGCTCTATTTTTGCTAAATGTTATTTGAACAAATAGGGGAAACAATGAGTAAAGTAATTGAAGCAAAGCAAAGGCAAAGCGCTAGACAAAAAAACACAAAACAACATTATATATATTTCTTCACACGCATATATATATATTGTTCAATATTATTATTATCTTATATATATATATTGTATGATTGCTAAAATAATTCTTTTGATACTTTGTACATGTTTACTTTAAAAAAACAAGGCAAAACCAACCGTAGGCGTATGTAAAGCCCGAACCCTTAGCATAACTTACATATATGCATCTAGTACCGATAAACCTATATAGAAGCCGAACTCATAACAGCTCCATAGCCTCATAGCCCCACCAGCCACACAGTCCTGTAATATTCAAAATTCAAGCATATTTAGTGAGCCTTGTTTAATCAGCCTCGGTGGTCAGCCATCAATAGGTCCGCAGAACACACCACACCATTAATGGAAAAGTTGTATAAATCGTATAAATAATTTACATACTGCTAAATAAAAAAAAGAAAAACAAGAGCAACACACAACCACAACACACATTAAAAATATTATATATATATATATATATATATTTAAATGCAACCACACAAGATGAACAACAACAAAAAACGAAAGTGTCTTAAAAACCGTAGTATTAGAAGTTTATTATTAATTTGTTTGTACTTTAAAGTAAAATATTTATAGAAAAAGAAAAAATACAAAGATTTAATATACACAAAAAATAAAACAATACGTATTTTAATTTATTAGGGATATATACAAGACTACTATTTTAGATTTGGTTCCAGGCACTATTATCACATCGTTTAAAATATTAAGAAATGGGAAAATAAACATCCTGTGACTTTGCCCGGTTGGTCAATCATCATCCTGCTCTCTCTGTGCGCCTGCGCCATCCGGAGCTGTCGGCTTCCGAGGACCAGAGACCAGAGTCGGAACCAGCAGGGACCAGGACCAGCAGCAGCTGCTGCCCGCCGACAGCCGACAGCCGTCTGCCGACAACCGTCGACTGCCAGTTGAGAGCGAGTGGCCGCCGTGAGCAGCACGGCTGAAGCGGAGCTGGCAGCCAGAAGTCCGGAGCACGCAACACGTAACCGAGCCGCCCCAGGTGGAGGCGGGGGAGGCAGCCGACGGGGAGGCGGGCAGCCATAGGCTTTCAGTGCTGTATACCCAGGGAGCCCCCAAAAAAAAAACAAAAGACGAAAAGCCCAGAGCCACAACTAGCTGATTTCAACGTCCTCCGTACTTCAAAGGTGAGTTAGTTTTTTATCAAAAAACCTGGACTATTTTTTCGGAGGAGGAATTTCGAATTACAACGCCAGACAGAGACATATGTGTTAACTACTATCTGGTGACGAGGGTGCTCAGCAATAACTGCCCTCAAGTGGTCTCCGAGGTGTTGTGAATACTTTACAGCCTTCGTGCCAGATACCATATTACCAGATACCCGTGGCCAATTCCCAGTCCTAGCAACAAATGACCCCCACGCCAACATTACCAGCAACAACAATTGCAACAGCAACACTTGCAACAGCAACACCACCAACAGCAACAGCAACTGCAAATGTTGACGTTTAAGGATGACGTCCTACTTTTGGAGTGTTGCTGTTGCCAGTTTTTCGCTCAAGTGCGACTGTGTGAGTGTGTCTGTGAGGGGTATGACGTAGTTTGCCAGCGAACCTAGTTGTGTTTATAAAGCTGTACGGATGTACATACTGGGATGGGGCCTGGGCATCGGTATCGGTATGGGTATGGGTATGGTTGTGAGAGCGAGTGTAGTCTGGTGTGTATTCACCAACAAGTGTCGCTCGGCTAGAGCGCCAAAAAGGAAGTGGCAATGCCAACAAAAAATAAAATTTCTTTTTTTTGCTTCTTGCATATGCATGGTACACAAGGTCCAGGACCAGAAGCGCAGGATATGAAGTCGGGTTCTAGTTGGAAGAGCTTTTCAATGGGAAGAATCGAGACAAGTTGCTTTGAAGATGGGTAGACTTTGCTAAAATAAATTAGATTCGAAATAGAGAGACTACTATCAAAGTTTGATTTTAAATCTCAGAAATAATCACATACTTTAATCTTAATCCTATATATATTTATATTTAAAATGTATATTACCATTTTATTTCATAGAATTATAGTATATGCATATTCTATAAGGGCCATTATAACAACTTTTATGACATCAAAAGAAAGAATCTTTTTAGTGTACCAGTTACTTTCGAGCTTTAATGTAACTATAGATAGCATAGCAACTATAGGTAGATAGTATAGGTAGTTAAATAATCCCAAAAATTCTAAAATATGGTTTCCTAAGAACCAACCAGTCTTGCATTAAAGATGTCCTAAAGGTACATATGTTCCAGAAAGGAAGTCCCCAAGTAAACATATAACGATTAAGATATAGAATGTATCTAGATTAGTCCCAAAACCTTTTTAAATAATTATTTATTTTTTAAACTCTCTACTCCTCCAGAAACCACCAGAATTTCGCAGATCATGCCCAGAGGCCGAGGCAGTGCGCCTTAGTAGATCGCCAAGATGATTATTCGCCTGCGCTATGGAAGACGACTACAGACCTATCTGAAGATAGGAGCCTGTGTGCTCGTGGGCGTCTGCTACTTCGCCTTTCTCTTCCGCGAGTCCCTGAACGCCTACGAGCATCGGGAGCGAGTCGCTGCCGCCGAACTGGAGGCGGATGTCTCGGAGCCATCCAAGCAGCAGCTCAAGCTCAAGCGGCAGCAGTTGCAGCGCCAGCGATTGCTGAGCAAGCAGCAGGAGCAGCAGAGTAAGGTGACCACCAACGCCAGCTCCGGCAGTTCAGCGGCCGCAGCTGCAGTAATCGCACCTTCTCCCAGTGCCCTCACCTTGTACGAGTACTCCGAGGAGCTGCACAGCCGGACGGAGCGGGAGCTGCAGAAGAGGAGCGAGCACTTGGCCGCCGTCTGCGAACGGTATAAGCTCCAGGAAAAGTACCCACCGAATCCCTGGGAGTTCTTCGTCTCGCCCGGCCATAATAATCTCGTGTGGTGCAATGTCTTCAAGGCGGCCAGCAGTACTTGGATGTATTACTTTAATATTTTGGGTGAGGATCCTTAGGAACTTAGATCTCCTGGAGTATAATTATTAAAAAAAATTTCCATTTTAGCTGGCTATGATGTGAAGTATCTTCAACGAACCGAGATGCAGCCCCTGGAGTTGGCCAGGAAGCGATTTCCCAGGCCGGAGCTCGCCGAGTTGATGGAACTCCTGCCCAGTGCCCTGTCCTTTCTGTTTGTAAGAGATCCCTTTGAAAGGATACTGAGCGCCTACCGGAACAAATTGGAGGGCAACAAGAACACCTTCTACAAGGCGCTGGGGAACAAAATCGTGCACCGCTTCAGGAGACGGCAACTGGGCGGGCCGTGGCCGAGATGCGGACCCACCTTCGAGGAGTTTGTGCGATTCCTGATCGCCGAGCATGAGGCGGGAAAGAAGTTCGACGAGCACTGGGCGCCCATCTACAGCTTCTGCACGCCGTGCAGCGTCAATTTTACGATCATCGGCAAGACGGAGACGTTCCAGCGCGACTCGGAGTACATCATTCGGCAGGCGGGCCTGGAGTCCTTGCTGCTGGGATTGGGGAAGCTGCCGCAGAGGAAGCTGCGCAAGATCGGCAACCAGGCGCGCAGTGGGGTCAAGTCGGAGGCCCTGGTCGAGCGCTATTTCGACGATCTCGACCGCTCAACGTTGGACCAATTGCTCAAAATATATCGCATCGACTTTGAGCTGTTTGACTACGACTACCGCAAGTACTACGATATGGTGAATCCCTGGAGTCTCGAACAGAGCACCGCCGGGGTCCAAGCCGGGGTACACCCTACCACGACCACAACTACCACCTCCTCGGCGGGGGCCTCAGCGGCTGTGGTGGGGAACGGGGCTGTTACCCAGGGTCAGGTCACATAGGTCAGTCAATCAGTTCGGAGGCGATGGGTCGTGAAACAATCTTATCATGTACCTTTTACCAACACTCGAAGACAAAAACACTAAAAAACACACGAATAACACGAAAAACAGAACCCAACCGAAGCTAACAAATCTACCAAATTTTAAGGCCAAATCAACGTTTTCCAAAAACGCAAAAACCAAAAAACACTCTTGACCTCTCTTAGATAATGCCAAAAAAAACAAAACTACAAAAAATAACTATAAATAATTAACGAAATTAAACAATGACAAAAAGGTTCGACCCAAGGAAACTTAGTTAGAAGATTTAGCATTTTGATGGATTTTTTCAGCCACCAAAATTCAAAAACGAGACCCTAAAATTTTACATGGCGTGGCATGTGTTGTGTTGTAGTTAGATTTAAGTACCTCTACAATTTACAGTCGCACTCTGATAACAAAACAAAACCGATATACTTATATAGCTAATGGATATTATACAGACCTCTATACCAAATATCGAGAACGCTATTCTTCAAGGCAAGGCTGGAGAGTTATATACAAGCACAAAGTGGACAACAAGTGGTCTCTAAAATCAGAAACGAAACTCTGTATTTACACACATATAGTATTTACAACCAAATCCCCCTAAAAGAAACCAAAGATACCAAGTCCTCTACAACCACAACATATGGTACTTACTATTATTAAGTTATTATATTTACCTATATATAAACGAAATTTATAAACAGGTCTTGATCTATGTCTATAACTTTTGTGGACTAGATACGTTTTTCCTAGGCTTAATGACGGACGGAGGATATTACGGTTTTCTACATGGAAAATTATACCAAAGAATGGACAGAAAGTAATTACAAATTATGAAAGTGAAAGTGAAACCCCGATAAAACAAGAAAACTTTTCATGTGATGTTTAAGGATTTATTATAAAGGCAAAGAATATTTAATTATTATACTTATACTGTATTTCAGATATTGATAAATGAAAACCAGAACAACACACGATATTATTCTAAATAAATTTAAAATTTTCCAGACTTTTTTCGTTGTAAAATAAAAATAAATAATCTCTTTACCACTCAACGATGATTTATTGATTAATGTATGGGGCGGTGTGATGGTATATTTAATATTAAATTACAGTAATACACCCGGGAAATCCCAGTAAAAACCAAGTTCTGTTTTACTTTCATCTTTATAAATAGATTTATTTTCATTGATCAACACAAACGAGTCATATATATATATATATTTAGATGGTATAGATTCTCATTATTTAAATATTTATGTGGATAGGGCTGCCGACGCATAGTTATAGTAATATTCATATGTATTTTTCTTGTGTGCTTCACTTTACTTTAAAATTGTAAATTGTAATGCTTTAGCATAGTGTTTTGGGGAGTGGGGGACATAAAATTAATACAACTTTTAAAGTGAATGATCTCTCTCGCGTGGTCTACGATCTACGACACTAATACATCTCGAATCTACCAGCTATATGGATTTGTGGTTAAGTGTGTATTTTGTGTGTTCCATTTTAAATATGTATTTTTCAAGTTTCTTAAACTTTGATAACATTTAGTTAAAGCGCTGTGACCCACTCGGGCAACCAAAGCAGCAGACAATAAATAAATTGAGAACGACAAACATTAAGGTAAGATATTCTAGAATATATTTATTGCATAAAATATTAACTCTCTTTTTCAGATTTCTTGCATCTCTCTAGATATTTTATATTTTGAATGTGCTTCACGGTTTTTCTTAATCATAATGTATATGTTTTGCTTCACTAAAATACACGAGCATATCAAATAAAATAAGCTTAGCTTGCAACTAAAATTATATACAGAATAGGAATATATGTATTTTAAATATGTGGTATAATATGTACATTAGCGAATACTTAACAATGTTTTGGATACATTGACAAACTGATCTCCTGCTCCACTATCGCTGTGCATAAGGAAACTTGGGGGCTGCATAAGAGAACAATAACTACGATGGTGATCCCCAGTGGTACTGGGTGGTCACCAAAATACCTACTTTGCAACCAAATAGCGCTGATACAAACAGGTTAAATAAGAAATTCTTGGGGGTGCCAACGTGTCTGACCCTAAGGATTTGTTTAGCTCCGAGTTTAACGAGATCTATATAGTTAGGCGTACGTATATATAAATAGATGCGCTTTCAAATGGTTACAAGACTCAATACAGTGGATAGATACACATACATAGGTTAGGCTCCAGCTAGAGTTCCGACTCTAGTCCGACCCTAGTTATACATAGAGATACAAATAGGCATGCATCGATATCTAATAGTTAACACTCTTTTTGGACTGTGGATAAACATTTCCTACATATGCTCAGGAGAACGACTGGCGCCATGGAACTCTCTGCTCTGCTCCGATCCCGCAACTCTGATTCCCTCAAAGTCTCTGTCTCTTCGCTCTCTCTCCTGCTCCTGCTCCTCGGGGTCCATGGGACTTACTCCGCCAGGATCATCTTGATGCTGGCCACCTCGGACTCGAGACGTTCCAGCTGAGACTTGAGCATCTGGTCCCGCTCGACACTGGAGACCACGCCAGCCTCCTTGGGGGCCAGCAGCTTCCTCTGCAGCTGCGCCGTCCACTCCGCACTGGCAATGGAGATTCCCGAGTCGCGCTCGTCGCTGGAGTTGTCGCCGCCATCGTTCCAGGCCGGGGGCGAAGCCCGATTGCAGTTGGGCTCCTGCTTGATGTGCTGCAGCGAGAGCAGAGCTGTGGCCGCCGCATCCTTGTCGCCCAGGTGGGACTTGTGGCGCAGCTTCAGCGGCAGGCAGTTGTTGGCATCGCTGCCCTGCTGCGGACTGCTCCTCTGGAGTTGCAAGGGAGCCAAGTGCGCTGGTTCGTGCTCCTGCTCATCGTCCCCGGACACAGCGCCCGAGGAGGAGGATGAGGACAGAGCAGAGGACGAAGTGGAGGAGGGGGTGGAGGCAAGCATGTGCTCGTAGCTGGGCGAGCACGCCCGCCTGGACAGGTTGAGAACACTGGCTGCACTGGCGGACACCGAAGAGCTGCTGACCGCATCCACAGCGCTGCTGCTCACGGCAGCCTCGACGCTGTGAGTCCAGGGTCCAGCCGGCTCCAGGTGATCCTTGTAGGGAGCAGGCGCATACAGTCCAGCTGGTGGCGGCGGTGGAGGAGCTCCCACGACTGCTGCCGCGTTGTAGAGAGCTCCGGCGGCCACTGCCTTGCGCAAGCTATCCAGATCCTCGGGTCTTACGTTCCGGTTGAGGGCGTGCTGGAGCTGCACCTGCAGGTTGGCGATTGTGCTGGTGGGCGGACGGTTGTGCGGATCGGCAACGGGGGGAGAGCTGCCACCTGCGCTGGAGGCGGGCTCCTGCTGCTGCGGGGGCTGCTGATGTGGCTGCGGAGGCGGCTGGTACAGATGCTGGGGCGGCGGCTGAGGCACGACCAGGGTCTGCAGGTGTGAGTTCGGGGGCGGTTGCAGAGGGGCACCTGGATGTTGCACATGATGCACACTCTTCACGGTGACCTCCTGGCGAGCGTTGCCATTGGGGCCATAGATCAGAGGCGAGAGTGGCGGTCCAACGGGGTAGCCGCTGTGGCTGTGGGCTCCGGGCGAGGAGCTTCTACCTGTAGGCGAGGATCCCGAGGAGGAACCTCCGCTGCCGCCGCTGGAACCACTGATCTTGGCTCGCTTGGTGTTGCTCAGGACCTGCTCGCTGGTGGGCAGCGAGGCCAGGATCTTCTCCACGCTGACCAGGTTCTCGCCGGAGATGTTGAACTTGTCCCGGATAGCGTCCAGCTGTGCCTTGAGTACGTGGTTCTCCTTGGTGAGCTCTATGACCCGTTGCTCCAGCACCATGTCGTTGTAGCGCCGCTTCTCGCGACTGCGTTTGGCGGCCTCGTTGTTGCGTCTCCGGCGATCCCAGTAGCTCTCGTCCTTCTTGTTGTCGGGTGTGAACTCCCGCTGCTTGCGCTGCGAGAAGAGCTCCTTTTGGGCGGCAGTCAGGGCCGACTGGGGTCCGTTGCCGTTCTGGGACGACTGCTTGCCCATCATGCTGTCGCCATACCCGTTTCCGGGCACAAACTTTCCCAGGCTGTCGGACATTCCGCTGTCGTTGGACTGTGGGCTGATGGATCCGCCGTACATTGAGAGAGGATGCACTGGAAACACAAGAGATAAATGATTACTTAGAGTTCTTAAAAGTCCAGTGAGTTCTTAACCATTATTAGGGCTATATCTTGTGAGGATTACTTACAATTGGTGGCCTCGTTGGAGCTGCCGTTCATCGACAGCGTCGGCGAAATGTTGGTGAGACGGACGTTGCTCATCATGGCTATGGAGGCGCTGGCGATGGCTTTGTTGTGGCTATTGGTCGGAGTGCCGCTAAGCACCTCGGGCATTGCTGATGGCACCGCTGCCTCCGGATAGAACTTGGCCGGCGGCGCCAGCAGCAGCAGTGTCTCTTCCTGGCTGGCCTTTGGGGGGCGTGGTCCGTACGGATAGTCACCGGCGGACAGTTTCTGCTGGCTAAGCTGTTGCAGCTGGGCTAGTTTCTGCTGCAGGTGTTGCTGATGTTGCAAGTTGTTGGAGGGAACTGTAAAAATTAAAATAGAAAATAAAATATTAATTATTATATTTCTTAAGTAATATTTCTTATCTATTGCATCATTTCCTGTTTATATTATTTAACTTTCTAAACATTCTCTTGTAATGAATCATACTCTTTCTCAAAATAACAATAAACACATCTTCAGAAATTCCAAACTTTTTCAATTGGGAATAATTTTGTTAATGACTATTCATCAAATTTCGGAAGAATTCCCCTGGAAATCCCTAGCTGGCAATTTAAGTCGTTATTTTGGGCGCCAGGAAGACCTTGCTCCCCATTCAAAGTCTTAGATTGAGCAGCGAATTATGCCTTCCTGCTACCACAACAATCGACTTATCACTTCTTTTATGGCATTTCTTCCAGTAGTGTTATCTACACCTGACACATAGGGTACACATCTATAGTAATTACAATCAAGTTGGCGCTTATCAAATCAGCCACTCAATGCAAAATCCATTGTGCCAAAAGGTAGAAAAAAAACCAAAACAACGTCGAAATGTCTAATGCGATCTTGTCTGGCTCACACACACACTGGCACTTGCACTTGCACCCACCACCACCCCCAGCCAGCCAGCCAGCCAGCCGGCTCGTAGAAATAGAAAACTTTCTTTGTTCAATGGTCCTTGCCCTTGTCTGCCAGCGTCAGAGGGTAGATTTGGGGGGAGAACCCACTCGAATTTTACGTTTTCTGGCATTTTTAGAACAAGCGTTTACACAATGATTACGGCCAATGATGCAAGAATTGACGATGTGGGCGAGCCAGGGTGAGGAGGCGGGTTTGGAGCGAAAGAACGAAGCCGAGACGAGAACGAGAACGAGAGACGACTTAGACAAAGGCATTGGAAGCAAAAAGCACCAATACCCATGTACTGGTAGGAACGTAAACAAGAAATCGCACGTCGCAGATTTCTGGGACGTCTGTGTTAGTATTTGGCCAATGTGTCTGTGTGTGTGTGTGCGGCCCCTGCACCCATTCTCTCACCCTCACCGTGACCATCGAATTGGCATTTACAGTTCAATGTGCTCCCCACACAAATACACTCACACACTTGCAACAGTTTTTATACAGTCACGTCAGCGGCCAGACGCTGCTAACGTCGCCGTCTCCGTCGACGCTAGCGCTAGCTGCGCAGCTGCCGGCAACCCCTACAGCACCCCCAAGAGCACCGCCGCTGCAATGACAAAATTCACAAAAACAACATGACTAAGCGGCCATCTCTGCCACCGCCACTGCCACCCTCTTGCTTAGTCGCTCTCTTCGCATGAAATTCGGCAATTTTTGTTTTGCGATGCAAACTTGGCCATAAACAAAGCATGTTGGTGATTGTTTAGTCTTGCCACCTACATTGTGTTGTTGTTTTGTTGTTGTTGCTGCTTGGATTATCCTGCCTGATGTGGTAGCTGGTATCCGTATTGTGTTTGAGTATCAAAAGATTCTTGGTCGTTGCTGCAGCTTTGAAAAAGTTTACTTTCTGTTCCAGCGTGCACACAATCGACATAATGTTTTGTTTTTTAAATTATGATTAAACTTTTGGCATTCATTTAATTATATTTTGTTTTTTTTTCACACTTAGAACACGAGATACTTTCTATGGTTCTGCATTAGTTGGCTTGCGGGCCGTTTCTGTGGATCGCGCACTTGACCGAATTGCTTTTAACGGCGAAACTCTTATCGGATCGGAACGATCGACTCGACTGTTTGTGTCTCGGCTGGCTGTGGCTGTGTGTTCGCGAGAGCGCCTGCACAACCGCTTCGAACGAACGCTGAATTGGTTTTGAATCGTACAATTGAAATTGTAAAAGCCGTCAGCATGGTAAAAGCATTTCTCCGCAGCGCTGCTTGGCGGTCGGTCACGTTGGGGCTGCACGCATCCGAGCCGCAACGTCGAGCTCGAACTTGTTGCGTCGCCGGCCCCCGGTAAAAGTGAAATTTTCCCCCATTTCAACCTGGCCTCTAACATGGGGCCAGCGGGAGCTTCGAACATGCTGCCTGTTGCGCGTTGCAAGAGATCACATTGCCGAGTTGAGTAATCAGCAATCTGGAAATCGTTCTGAGCCTGCACATTTGAAACTAGAACGTGATTGCCGCACAAGAGCGGTGGAGCGGGGCGGGGGCGGCGCGGCGGCCAACGCTCTTGACAGAGCTCCAGCATAAGGTGACTGAGGTGCGCTGGCCGCGTGAGCTTCGACTCTGTTTCTGATTCTGATTCGATTCTGCCTTCAATTCCAATCTTGAATGCTTGGCTATGTGTGTGTCAGCTGGCCTGGGCTGTGGTGACGCAAGCGTCTTACAAAAAAAATTGGGAGAGTAAACACATTATTATTAATCAAGAATGCAATTACATACTCGCACCCATACAGGGAAGACAGGTGGAGTTATTTTACAATGGTAATCGACTTTGGTAAGACATTTCGTAAGGAGCTAAAAAGCGATTCTTACAAAATTGTTACCTTTAAGCGGTTACCGGGTTATATGAGTATACAAGGGGTTTGTTATTAAAGTTTCAAGAAGTTCTAAAACGTTATATTGTTGGAGATTTTAAATATTATAGAATATTACCCTATAATCTCATTAAATATTCCATTAGACTAAACACTACTCACCGCTAACCTTTGACAAATCGGCATATAATTAAATATCTAGATTCTAGATAATGCATCTGAACCTAGAAAACCCTAGGGCTCACGTGGCTTTGAAACTTTGGATATTTACAAGCCAGTCTCCCTCCGATAAGGTAAATATACAGCGGAGCTGCGATATCTTTGCAGCCACCACTCTGTCTGGTATGCAATTACAAAACGATTTTACGACTTATATAAATTATAATTAAACTCTTAACGCCTTGCAGATACGGTTATCAGTAGGGGCTGAAGAGACCGGGCCACCACCAACTTAGTTGCAGTTCAAAACAAAGAGGGAAGTACATTAATATAACAACAAAATCGGCGGAACAGAGTCTAACAGCTATGCAAACAATGACACTTCACTTAACAAACACGGTGTAAAAAGTAAGGTCGGGAGACGTTATGTAAGTTCCGCTCGCCATTTCCACTGACTAACAATGGACTCAATAAAATACGAAATAAAAACAAATGGCCAGTACGGAATGGAAAATCAAAAGAATGAATTCTATTGAAAAGGCATTAAGAAGCTCGGGTCTCACAAGTGATTACAAAATGCCATCGAATCAATCACACTAACTACACCCACCGCAAAATGATTGTCCATCTGGTCCACCAAGTGCAGAGGAGGAAGAAACCGCAACCGCCACTGAAACTAAATAAAATAAGAAATACTTTGATATGGTCAGCTTTATGTTTATTCTTGGCAAAGGAATATTTTTTTTGTTTATCTCGGTTTTGAGATATGAAAGTTTATGCTGCAATAATGCATCATAATGGGTTCTTAAGAGTTACTCAACAGGATGTTTGAAGATAAAAGATTTAATTATAGAATAATAACACTTGTTGGTAAAAATAACTGAAAACCCAACTAGAGAAGTACCTAGAAGTACCATTAAATTTCCCAAAATACTGACCTACACCCATAGAAACTATATTTTCTTAATTGACCACTCCATTATACCGACACTGGCACCCATCCAGCTAATGCAGTGTATGGCGGGCCTTAATTGATACAACAAACCCGATCGGATGCCAGGCTTCTAGTTTACAGCTCCCTGATTATTGTTGATCATGAGCAAATCCCAGTTACGTGATCACTGCGATATATCCACGTGAGCGGGCCGATTCACGTGTATGAACCAATCGTACCCACATCCGTTGGTAGTGCCTAGACCCCCGACCCGCCGCTCAGTTCCCGTAGCAGAACCTCGAGATTCCCCATAGACATAGACTACGGGCTAGCACCACTCCATCCCCGCCCCTCCTCCCCCTCCATTATCAGTATGCAAATATATAATAGGGCCCTTATCAAATTCTGCGAACCAGCTACTAACATTTTTGCCATGGGATCGCACCGCTCACACATCTATTGAATGGCTCTGCGACGGGTTTTGTTTGCACAAACACACTTGCAGCGTACACTTACAGAAAAACTAAGGTAATCAGCGAGGAACGTGCTAGTGGCGGCAGGAGGGGGCGTTAGAAGGGAGCAACACCAAAAACGACTGTTACGAAACACTGTCGTCGTTCTCGTTCTCGACTACGTTGTCGTAGTCGTATTCTCCAGCAACAAGAACAACCGGGTAAATGGAAACTAGCCCCCACCCCGCCCACTGTCAGAATGCCAGCTGCCCCCTACATGCCCCTGCCCCTCCGACCCATTGCATCGGCAGTCAAGTTATAGCAACGCCACAGCTATTTATAATTTCGCAGCGAGAGGCGTGCGCGCTGACTCGACGCTCAACGCTCAACGTTCGGCGGTCCGCTTCGGTCACGTGTCGCGAAATGTGCCCACCGGCAGCGAAGCCGGCCGAGGCAGCGGCGGCCAGTGCAACGCTCCCGGCCAGTGGCTTCGACGGCTCACATGTTGGCGACTTGAGTCGGCTACGCAAACCAAATGGAAATTAACGTGCTTTCCACTTATTGCGATTGTTTTAGAATTCCCTCGTTTCCTACTGTGAAGCTCCACTAGAAGGCCCTAAACTCGAATTCCAGCCCCAAAGAATATGATATTTCTTAAAGAGCTGAAATTATTATAATTCAATGATTTAATCATATTTTTATTAAATGTTAAATGTGAATATTCGAAAAAGCACACTATGCGTATACGCAATATTTCGCATAAGTCATATTACGTATACGTAATATTGGGAACACATAATCCCTGAATCAATGCCTGGGGATTTTAATAATTTATTAAATTTACAAATCCTTAATTAAATATCTTTAAATTAGCATTATTAATCCTAACCCACACTTTTTTCCCACAAAAGTGCGTTCATAAATTTACATATTATCTGAATGAATCCCTGAAATAAATAATTTTCATATGTATCATTTCTTTTTTATACAAATAGTAATATTTATATACACAATTCTTTGAGTAATATATTGAAAATCCGCATTATTAATCCTGTATCACAAGCATTCTACGCAACATGGCGTATACGTGATAAGCAACATAAAATATTTGTTTAACAAACATTATTTTTTGTTATTCACAATTCTTAAATATAATTAGGAAATAAAAAAATTTCCAAATTTTTAAGGGTGTCAACTATTGAATCCTCACTGTTTTGTTATTGGTCTAGCTCCTTTGTAAAAATAATATATTTTTTTTTTCCATAACACCCTCCGGCGGAGAGCATTCTGGGGGGAGGGTCTGGAGAAATATGCAAATCTTGGCAAATATTTTGTTTGCACATTAATGGGTGGGGGGCGGCGGATGGGTGGCTTGGTGGCCCGTCTAAAATGCATTGATTTCAATTTCTTAACGCTTGTTGTTGTTACCTGACAACGTGCTCGCCGCTGCTGTAATTGTAGTTGTAATTGTGGAGGTATGTAATTCTTACATTTGATAGGGAAGACGGCAAAGTCTACAATCACGACCATAGGGGTACCCATTAATCAAAAGGAAAGTAATAAACCCAAAAATAAGTTTAAAAATTCTTAAATCTTCTATTCAGGATTTATAAATAAATTTAAAAAAAAACAATATAAAATATTATATTTTAATATCCCAAGAGGTATCTAGTAACCAGACTCTTTGTAGACAATTCTACTAAGAAAATTTCTACTAGAAATTACTTCTAATCTTGGCATAGGTCATTTAGGAAAAGTTAATTCTTGGAACTGCACTTCAGCTGGAAGCCAGATACGCTTATAACCGACGTTAAAAGTCCAAATAAAGTTATTAAATCATTAATAATACATTGTAATTTACATTTTAATTTACTCAGAATATATGAAAAAAATTACTTTATTTTGAAAAAGTAATTTCTAAGATAATGTCTAGTTTGTACCGATTTAGCGAAAGCTAAACATCAACACGTATGTGATTCGCATGAATAATGCAATCGCGAATTAATAATATTATTAATTTATTATTGAATGTTGCCTTACTTTCGGAATCGTTCTTTGTTCTGGGGCTCGAGCCCCGTGTCTCATGTCGCGATGATTATGTAATTACCGCAAAATGAATTCGCTCGCCAACTTGTTGTTTATTTTCTGTTTAAATATATACTGTTCACGTACAAAAGTTTGTTTTAACAAGATGTGATTTTTAATTGTTGAAAAACTTTCAAGTTTTAACGCAAATAGAAGGTTTATTCTGGTCCATACACTAACCAATTTGGCAATGGATTGGAATTTTATTTGTAAATATATGTACATTTTTAAGGTAAAAAATTTGTTTTACATATTACTATTTTATTTACTGATCCCATGTTTTTAGGATAATTTATGATATTTAAAATAAGAATTTCAACAAGTTGTCTTGTCTGGTTCTTGTCAAATACATATATTTATTTTGAACCCTCATGATCTTCAATTTTTGTAATTTATTTATTTTTATGAAATATTTTCTTGAACAATGCAATTCAACATTTATTCTGGAAATCCCCTGAAACAATGGTCCTCTTTCAGTAAATTTTCCATGACGTTCGGACAACATGACCTCTACAAACACGTCAACGGATTTTCTTGTCACCAGAATTGTGGCTAATGCGTCGTCGGTTGGAGATTCCGATTTCTATTCTGGCCTGGTCTGGTCTGGTCTGGCCTGGCTGTGCAACGTGAGGAAACATGCCATTTGATTACCACAGCAACGCTGGACGCACGTCATCTTGCCCCCCGCCGAAATTCACCCTAGCCCCCTA